ATATTCATTTGAGATGAATTTCCCCATATGAGTCACGTTTTTATAATAAGCAACTACGCATGGCGATATGATTCAAATAAAATTGTGCCTTAAAGTTTTGATAGAGTTTAAAATTGTATAGCTATATTTATAGTAGAGGCTCAAATGGTAGTTTTCATTATCAAGGACGCAAGTTCGATTTTTATGTTAGTTTACTTCAGATGTTCGTCTTATAACTATATATTGAATAGAAATAACATATTTTGTAGAGAATCGTGAGTATTCTATACATATAATAAAATTGTAACCAAGCCGAATCTGTACATTAAATATTTTTTGGAAAATCTTATTTTAATAGACATTATTATCGATACAGAGGCCGAATAGTTTTAAGAATTTTTTTCTGTCTGTTACCGCATCACAGAAATACCATTGGAAGGATTTTGATCAAATTTGGTATGGTGATAGCTGGTTATCCGGGTCAACATATAGGATACTTTTTACTGCGGGAAAATATTTGAGAAAAAATACAAAAACTGCATTGTAAGAGTACACTAATATGTAAAACCTAAGAGTTTGCTTTTTGGTCATCTGAACGCGGGCGGAGCCGCGGGCAATGCTATATATAATTAAGTAAAGACATAACAGTTCAGTACCTTTTTCTCCTCTGTTTGTCAAACGATTTTCTTCTTTGACGGCACGTTTAGGTCAGTTTGTAGTGACCCTACTTGCTGTGCCAGCGGTCGAGGGTTCGAGTCCCGCTGGGGACATTCATTTGTGTGATGAGCACGAATGTTTGTCCTACTACCGGCAAAATTGTTTATATTTATAATATGTATGTATTTAAAGTTACATATGTGTAGTGTATCAACTATCTGGTATCCATAACACAAGCCTCGTAGCTTACCATGGAACTGGATGGTGCTGTGTGTTAATGTCCTAACATATTTATTTATATTTTTTTTATTAGCTATTAACGAGCTTTATTGTTCAATTATTAGTAAAAAAAAGTATTGTATTGAATTGTAATCCGTTCTTTTTGACGTCCCACTGCCAAGATGCCGAGATGAGGTTGATGAGGTTGGCGGACTTCACATGTCTTTCGGAAACTTGTTAGGTTATCTCAACACCAGTTTTTGGGTATTTCATTATTAAAAAAAAACAGAAAACATTTAAGCCCGACCCGAGACTCGAACCCAGGAACTCTAGCCATCCGAGTCTAGACTGACGAAGTCAAAAAGCCAATTATTTTTTTGAAATTTGGATTAAATTAAAGTTTCCTCTTTAACTTAAACTGTCTTCCTCCGATTCTTTCTCATTTTAATTATTTAATTTTTAGGTAAACAGACAGTATTATTAATTATAACTTACAATACGTAAAAACAAAAAATATGGACATGTAGGTACATAAAGCAGAAGTAGCTCAGTGGTAACACGCTCGCTTGGGAAACCGAGTGAAGCGGGTTCAAATCCCGGGCCTCGCACCTCTGATATTCTCATGTGTGATTCATTTTCAACATGATGTCCACTTGTCTTACGGTGAAGGAGAACATCGTGAGGAAACCTGCACGTCTAAGAGAACCCAGCAAGTTTTCTTAAGGCATGAGAAAAACTTGGCCAGCATAGTGTGTTATGGTCTGACAAGCTCTTTCGCTTTTTAAATTATGTATTAACATATTTAATTTAAATTAAAAGTTTAGTTTTTATAGTTTTTTGTAACAGATACACATAAAAAAATAATATAAACACGTTTGCACACTTCCGTATGGTTGGTAATCATTTATTGCGATCAATTTATCCTTTTTTATTTAGCACTTGTTCATGCCTACGCTTGCGTGATAAGCGGGATGGGGTTCAAGGGTAGCCTATGTCCGATCCCAGGATGCAATCTATCTCCTTGCCAAATTTTATCGAAATCTGTTTAACGGTTTAAGCGTGAAAAGGTACTTGTAACAAACCGAATTACTTTCACATTTATAATATTACTTAGTTAATATTTATACGTTTTTATCGTTTATGGAATAAAATATATATACCTACATAGATATGACGAGTTTTATATCCTTTACTTGAGAAATGATTGATTCCCCATACAAATTTTCATCCCCCTTTTCACCCACTTAAGTGATGATTGCCAGGATAAAAACTATCCTGTATTCTTCCCAGGATCTAAAACTATGTTCATACCAAATTTCATCGAAATCCGTACAGCGGATTTTTATTTCAACCTTTACACACAAACATACAAAAAACCAATTGTTTCTCTTATAATATTATTATAGATATATGTAGATTATTCAATGAGTTACTGTCATTATCTCGTGTATCCACTTATCGTCTTTATTCGATGTCAGATATGAAGGAGATTTGTATCTGCTTATGCGCTTGCGCAGCCAAAGTGAGGGGGGAGGGGGGAGGATCGATCATCTAAGATAAACAATATACAACCTGTTCTAAGCTACTACTACTATAGATTATAATAATCTATATTATGTATATATATCTATTTGACGACACGTTTGGCTAAGTGTGTAGTGACCCTACTTGCTGTGCCAGCGGTCGCGGGTTCGAGTTCCGCTGGGGACATTAATTTGTGTGATGTGCACAAATGTTGGAGCACAAACTCCATTCATGAATGTTTATATTTATAAGTAATATGTATGTATTTAAAGTTATATAATTATGTAGTGTATCAACTATCCGGTATCCATAACACAAGCCTCGTAGCTTACTATGAAACTAGATGGTGCTGTGTGTTAATGTCCCAACATATTTATTTATTTATATAAACATAATATGTATAGACAAAATTGTATAACAATCTGTACATACCTACATATATAAGAAAATTCTGAGTCGAATCTATACATTAAATATTTTTCAAAAAATCTTATTGAAATATTCATAATTATCAATACAGAGGCCGAATCAATGTTTTTAGAATTTTTGTATGTCTGTCTGTCTGGAAACGCATCAGGAGAAAACCATTGGACAGATTTTGAATCATCAGATGATAGCTGGTTATCCGGGTCAACATATAGGATACTTTTCACGAGAAAATATTTCATCTCTGAGACATCTATACTAAACGTAAGAAAATGAAAAAAGGACGAACCCAAGCGGAGCGAGAGTGAGTCGCTACTCGCTAGTATGTGCCGTATAATTCATAAATACATTTAGTAAAAAGCTGTTATTTTGACATTACAAACAGACACTACGACATTATTTATCTTTTTCAATAATACAAGACTCTACGATCAATTTTTAATGTCAAAATAATTTATGTAACAAGTTATATAATTTCAGCAATGTAAGTCATGAATGAACTTTCGCTTTTAACCAACAACAGATTGACTTTATAGTCCAAGAGCTAGTGAACCCTGGGAGTAACGGTCTCCCTGTAAGGTTAGAAATTTGTCTATTTACGATTTATGGCATGCTAAGAGCAATAGCCATGACCTGGCAGGCGTCAGCCCTGCACGTCATCAGCCCCTTTATTTTTTGAACTGTTTAGTAAATTTAGTTTTAACACTTGTTTCTGTAAATTTGAAAATTTAATAGGATAAAGTTTCTTTATTGTACATCTTAAAAAAAAATTGACAGGCGATTACAATAAGCAGAAGTATATGACAGATCAATTAGAAAACCCACAGTTGATGAGGTAAAATAAACTTTATCCTGTATACTTAAAATTTTTATATGTTTTCAAGTAAACGTCTCAGAGTAAATATGTACAATACCAGGCGGTTTTGAATAGCATAAGACCTTGACAGGCGAGGGGACAGCTGCTAAGGGCGTGCGAGTGAGAGGTGTTGCGTGAATGCCTATAGTGCGAGTGAGACCGTTTACCTAGTACGAAGGGACGTATACCTGCTCTCGATAGCAACAATTAAATGTACAGAGAAGAATTTCGTCAGTTGTACCAACGATTTTTACTCGAGTGGATGCTTTGAGCTATAACATTTCTTATGTTGAGTGATTTCGAATTTTTAAAAATTATACTTTATATTATTATCAATTGTGTAGTGATATTGTGTATTGTTGTACTTTATATTAACATTCCAGTAAATAGTGTGCAAGATGGAATTTGAACACGTGGTTTGTGTGATTTGTAACGAAGACACAGATAAAAAAACTGTACGATTTACAGAGACTACGTTCAATAAAAGTAAATCAATATTGAAAATAAGAAAAGACAATAATTTAAAATTTAAAGATATTTCTTTGCCAGAGGAAATTAACGCAAATACTGGTTAGGGGGTGTCCATTAATCACGTGATCTTTTTTTAGCATTTTTTAACCCCCCCTCCCCCATTGGTGATACGTAGTGAGGTTTAAGACCACCCCCCCTCCCCCTTCTCAACATCACGTGTATTTTTAGTACCTACAACGAATCTTAACATTTTCTGAATATTATCTTAATTTAAATACCTGTATTTATTGTACTGTATTAAACTATGATCTTATTTTATTCTGAAATTAAGGACCATAATAAAAATGTCTACACCAGGTTGCAAGTTTTTTTTTATTGCCATAACAATGATAATAAACGAAGAGTGTAATCATAGGAAAAACATGTATTGTACTAGTACATGAATATATTTAATGTATATTGTCCTCGAACCACGGATTAGCAAGACATTCTTCAACACTAACAACTGGATAAGCGTCTTGCAGGTGTTTGACGAAAAAATAAATACACGAGATATCTTACTACACCCCCCCTCCCCCTTGTGTTATTTTCGTGATTTTTATCAAACCCCTCCCCCCCCTTTCAAGCCTCACGTGATTAATGGACAACCCCTTACCATGTAAAATGTTATAAAAACTTTCTTGCCGTGATGAAAAAATATCGCACGAGTGAATCATCAACTTCTTCAAATCTACCATCATCATCATCAGGTATTTTTTAAATCAAGGTTTATTAATTATTATTGATGGAAATAAAAATAATTACGTAAAAATAAAAATTATTATTAATTATGAAATATGAATATCTCAATGGTTTTTTTTTTATAGAAATGCCATCGACAAACGTAGAAACAGTGACAGTAGCCCCTCTAATAGCTACTGAAGAAAGCGGAGCATCAACAACTGCTGAAGTGCCCATTACTAAAACTAGCCATGCAGATAGGCTATGTTTGTTTTGTCAAAATAAATATAAACGAGTGAAAGGGCGATACCAACCTCTTCACTCGTCAGAAAGAGCAAGTTTGATGCAAGTTCTGAAAGAATTTGGCGAAAATAATGAATTTTATGACAAAGTTAGCGCAGATTCAAGCCCATTGATTTTTTATCATAATAGCTGTCGAACAATTGCCATATATACTTTACAAGAACAAGCGAGGACAAAATCACCACCGAAGAAGACTTGGAAATATTTTCACAAACTGGCTTTTGATGAAATGCAAATTTTTATCAGCGACGAAATAATAAATAAAAAAAGGACATTTTCATTCACATACTTATGTAAATACTACTTTGAATTATTACAAGGAATACTCGAGGAAAATGATGAAGATGTTGATGTTAATTTTAGTACCCAGCGGTTTGAAGCTAAATTGTTACAGAATTACGATGAAATTACAATTATCAAGAGGGACAGAAAAAAATATGTAACATTAAAGGATTCTGTTGTTGATGCAAAATTATGTGAACTGTTGGAAGATGCGGAGATATTGCAAAGAGCAGCATCAATTTTACGAAAAACTATTTTAAATATGACAAAGAAAGAATTACCAGAAAACATAACAACTGCTGATTTGTTAAATGGCGAATGTGAAATACCTAAGCAATTACTTGATTTTTATTGTTTTCTTCTGGGTGGTTATAAACGACGTCGGAGAATTAGTGAAGGTTGTATAAGGAAAACTAATTCATTGGCAGAAGATTTGATTTATAATGTTACTAATGGGTCTGTCAAAACCAAAAAACACATCACTCTGGGCATGACATTGAAGAGTTTGACGAGCAGCAGAAAGATCGTAGAAATTATAAATAAATATGGTCATTGTTGTAGTTATCATGTTATTGAAGAATTGGAAACTGCAGCAACAACTACGTTATTGAATCGTTCTAAAATTTGTCTAAATGAAATTTGTAAAAGACAAGATTTATTCACAGGAGTAGCCTTCGACAACTTCGATCGTTACGTTGATACTGCTACTGGTAAAGATACCCTACATGATACGGTAGGCATAATCTATCAAACAGTTCTAGAAAATGAGGAATCAACAGAGGGAACTTCTGAGCAACTCCAAAATCCTTCTGAACATGGTGAGTGCACAGGCGAGCTATCCGTTTCATGTGTTCATGCAGGACATAAAAGAAGAAGGACTCTTGATGCTATCATCCCAGAGTTAGTCCCATATTCAAAGAAACTCAAGATGAATGATGAATTATTGTCTTTATCTGACAATTTAAGAAATGAAGCTACACCAGCTTCACTAGAAACAATTTATCAGTAAAAGTTTCTGTGGATGCTTTGCCATGCTCTAAAAATTAAAAAAACATCGATGTGGGTTGGGTTCCATCATAATTTAAACAAAGATTCTCATAATAACAAAGAAAAAATTTGTTATCTCACACCAATAAACGAATCACGGCAAATATACCAGTTGTAATAGAAACTATGAAACAAAGTCAAAGTATTGCTGCAGAAATTGGACAACCTTGCATTAATGTAACATATGATCTAGCTATAGCAAAAATTGCTATGCAGGTACAGTCTACAGAAAAACCAGTTTATGATAATTTATTTGTCCATTTAGGACCGTTCCACATCATGTTAGCATTGTTTAGAGCAATTGGAAAATTTATTGACGACAGTGGAATAATGAATGTAGCTGTTGAAAGTTAAAATTATCGCAAATAGTTCAGTAGATGGATTTTTGAAAGGAAAGCATTTTAATCGATGTAAGCGGCTGCATCCATTAATGGCACTAGGTCTAGAAATATTATGTTTTCAATCTTTCATAGAAAAAGAAGATATAAGTATTGATGAAGATGTTTACAATAATCTCTCTACATTTATCGATGGTAATGAACCGTTTGTGAACGTTATAGAAAATAAAGCAATATCAACATTGATGACTCGATACCAATATCACAAAGAACAATGTAGAAAAGGAACTTTTGGTAAAACGCCTCAATTTTATGTTATTTATATGGATCTTGTTCATTACTATCAGTTACTGAGTCGAAGCATAAGGACTGGAAACTTTTCTTTGTACAAATATATTCTGTCAAAAATAGCAAATATATTTTTTATGACAAATCAGCCTAATTATTCACGATGGCTGATAAAATACCATGATAATTTGTTAAAAGTTGGTCTTACACATCCCTCAATTGAAAAAAATATGAAAGATGGATACCTTGGAATCAAACGTACTGATAAATCTTTCTCTAGACAGCCAACAGATCTAGTACTTGAACAAACTATTAATGCCGACGCGCGAAAACTACTTTGAAATTCAAAGTTATACGTATTACTTTATTCTAATACGAATATCTTTGAATATATTAACAGTTTTACCTTTTCGTAGAAAGAAGAGGGGAAATTTTAAATTATGATTTCTAATAAGTTGTTCATTGATTTGTTTATATTTAATAATAATAATAGTAAAAATAGACTAAACTAATTTTGATAAAAATTGTGATTTTAATATTAAAAAGAATAAATATTATTTTGCTGCTTCAAATGTTAAATAATATTTAAATGGCAACATTGATTTATGATGTCACAAACCATATATAGAATAGATAAAAATAATCAAAAGTACACTATGTAAAACACATGCATATTTTATATGTCCGTAGTAAAAAAAATTATAATGAAAATAAATAATTTTATGGAATTATAAAGTATTTAATCTAATTCTGGAGTTTTCCAAGCATTATTTTGAAATATACAAGTAAAAAAAAACAAGATAAACAAACTTGTCGAGCCTCTTTTTTATGATAGAAGTTTATCTTCAAGCTAATATACTTCTTTTATAGATACAGATAAAATGTAAACAAATATAAAAAAGTTATTATTATTAAATTGAACATACATAATATATATATGTACCTAGTAAATGTCATATTCAAGAATTATTACATCACATTAAAAAATACTCACCTTCAATTATTGTTAAAAAATCCAAATAAGCACAACACAAACACTTAAAAAACACTTTAGGAATATTTATTTTAACAAATTAAACAAAAAGGCGCGCCAATATAGTTATGCGACAAAATTAGAATGACCTCGAATGCGATAAACTTGTAAGGTCAAAACGTGCCTTCGGATCGTGGTCGGGTTATAATGATAAGATGGACGTCAATCCAGTATGTCGGCAAATGGTTGACTAAACGTAATTTTAGCATGATTCATGAAGTGCGAGCGTGATTGGTATATAAATGATAAGTTATCATTTGCAAAATGTTCAAGATTGTTTTACTAAACTGAAGTAAGATATATATATTTTCTTATCAATTCGTAGGCTTTATAGTTTCTTTTTTTTTTTTGGCCACGGTTTTGTTTGTTTTTTTTTTTGTTTAAACATAATTGGACCTAGTTATGCAAAATGGATCCAGCCCATAAAAACCGTTTTTTGGGTTACTGTCCTAAATGGCACCTACATATCAACTCCTACACAGAAAGTAGATAAAATACCCAATATTTTAGAGGAATTTATAAAATATATATATATCAATTTTACTAAAACTTCTATTTTCTCAAAAGTAAGTTTTTGTGGTTAGATTTTGCATAACTACGTCCAATTATGTATTTGTGTTATTCGAATGTTATTTCTTCGTTTTGTATGTTTATTTGGTGGTGTTCAATGAAGTGTATTAATATAATCCATACTAATATTATAAATGTGAAAGTGTACATGTTTGTTTGTTTGTTTGTTTGTTTGTTTGTTTGTTTGTTTGTTTGTTTGTCCTTCTTTTACGTCGAAACGGAGTGACGGATTGGCGTAATTTTTTTGTGTGGAGATAGTTGAAGGGCTGGCGCTACTTAGGCTATATTTTACAGTGGGAGATTTTCTAATTCCCACGGGAAAACCGTAATCCGAAAAAATATTTATGATCAGAATTGTAAATGGTATTAATGCTCTTCAATAAAATTAAATAAATACATGTTTAGCATTTTTCGAAATTAATCCTATACAGGGGTAAAATAGGGGATGAAAGTTTGTATGAAACTATCTTTTTAGAGATTTTTTTGTAGTTTTACAAAGTTTTACAAAGTTGTCGAGCAAAATTGCGGGTTCTGCTAGTTATTATTATAAGTTTCACTAGGCCGCTGGTAATTGAACTAAAAACTAAACAACACCGGGGTCTTTATTCGTACTTTATTAAAAAATCGAATGTCGTGTCCTGTCTGCGTTAGAAAAAAGTGATATTAAATTTTAATGATTTTTTTATTTTCCTGGTAGTGGTTGTTTCTAAAAAACCTTAAAAATGCTAAATTGGTCCACCGTAACCATAAAACCGTGGGGATCCGGAACTCAAACCCAGGACTTCTGGTTCTGGTAGTTTTTTAATAATGACAGAATTAATGGATCATTTTCGTGTACGGTGTACGGAACCCCACCAAACCCTTTTTTTGACGTTGGTAAAAACAAGGAATTTTCTTAATACGGCAAATTTATATTTACATTGCGGTTCCGTAACGTGAAACATTAAATTTAAGTATATTAGAATAGGATTGCCCGCGGCTCCGCCCGCGTTCAGATGACCAAAAACCAAATACTTAGGTTTTACATATTGGTATACTTTTACATTGCAGTTTTTGTATTTTTTCTCAGAAATTAGAGATTTTCTCGCGGTAAAAGTATCCTATATGTTGACCCGGATAACCAGCTAGCATCATACCAAATTTTATCAAAATCTCTCCTGTGGTTTTTCCGTGATGCGGTAAGAGACAGACAGACAAAACTATAAATTCGGCCTCTGTATCGATAATAGTCTATTTCAATAAGATTTTCCAAAAAATATTTAATGTACAGATTCGGCTTAGTTACAATTTTATTATATGTATAGATTTTGTATTACGTTAAAATTAAAATAAAATATTTATTTAATTATAGGTACTCTACACTAATGTTACAAAGAGGAAAGATATTTTTGTTTGTTTGTTTGTTTGTTTGTTTGTTTGTTTGTTTGTTTGTTTGTTTGTTTGTTTGTACGGAATAAACTCCGAAACTACTGAACCGATTTAGATGAAATTTAGTAAGAATATAGTTTGAGACCTTGGAAAGTACATGGGATACTTAAGGGGGTGAAAATGGGGATGAAAGTTAGTATTGGGATGCAAGCTAGGGACGATGAGTCGCTCGTTTTTTAGATTTTGTAATTTGACTTATTTCTACAGAATAGTCTTAACCGTTCACATGAGACACCTACCTAGTACCTATCAATTATCATAAACGTAGAGTATAGACTGAGCAATAGGTACTCTCCTGAAATTGATCTCTCTCTAGAAAGAGAGAAAGCGAACGTGCGGCCAATACCTACTTTCATTCCAATTTGAATTTGTAAATGGAATGTAAAATAAATATAATATTATAATGGAATGTGAAATGGTTATAAATAACTATCTTCATTAATCGTATTTTCATCACTACAGAAGACTTCTGGTTGCACGTTCGTTTTGTCTCTGTCGCTCCTTTCCGCCATTTTTAGCTGACGGCTGACAAAGAAACACTCAGTCCACACTCTATATCTATGGTACCTATTAATCAGCAATGTAGCTCCAATAGTTCTAAAGCAAAATGGCTGTGATATACGGACAGACAAACAGACAGACACGGTGAAATATCAAGATTCCGTCCTGAGATTTTCATTACGGAACCCTATAAAGATCGTATTTACTATTTCTGGGTAACAAATAAATAAATAAATAAATTTATAAAAAAAACTGGCTATAACGTCTTTCATTTAATGTTTTCACCACCAATCTTCAATAGACCATCCATAAATCAAAGGAAACGGGCTGTAAAGAAATTAATAAAAATTATTATTATTATTATAGATACTACTATGAATAAGGTTTAAAGTACCTCGTAATAATAGTAAAAATATATTACATCAAGTCTCTTTTATAGGGCTAATTAAATTTAATATTATAGGGCTAAATATACGCATGTATAATAAAATTCCACCGTCCGTTTAACCGTCCATTTAAACAGTTAAAATCAAAATAGAAAAGCATAGTAGGAGTGGACTCCAGGGCTCTCACTGAAAGAAACTCAACACACACACAACAGTACGGTTTTTATATGGAAGTTTTCTAAGAAGTCATGCTAACATCAACAAGACGTATTACTTTGACAACTCTTACATATAGTGCCTTGTTATGATACTTTCTTAGATTTACGCGAATATTTGACATTTTAAATAAAACTATCTCTTCGGATTTTGTCGCGGATTTATTTGCATTTTTGTTTCCCGACGTTTCGAATGCTTTACAGCATCCATGGTCACGGGACCATAGTTTAAGATAGTTTTATTTAAAAAGTGCCTTGTTAGTCAATTTAGGGTATCATCAATGACAGATCCGAAGGTCAGAAAGTTGAAGGTCGGTTTGAGTCCCGGTTCCAGCCCGGGCTATGTTAGAACAATCCAAGATCCCTCCCAACGTGCGTTCACCTAGTCGTGGTTGGCGGGCTCATTAACATCCGGCAACCCAGCCAGGTGGGCGGGCCGAAGCCAAGAAACGCACTGGGAGGCGGTCCATCTCGGTGGGCGGTGTGCCATGTGGGTTGCTCCTGGTACTTCTCTGATAGTAGAGTGGATCGTTGGAGCCACCCCATGGCTGTTGTGGTCTGCTTTGGCAGACCTGCTGTCGGGGCGTCGTGGTTGAGTGCGTAAGTGATCCCGCGACACTCCATTAAGACGGAGCAAGTTTTGTTATTGTGTATATGGATAGTCGTATAGTGTATTGTTGTATAGTGTTATTCGATCTATCCGTTTTAGAATGAAAGGAATAGAGAGTGCATTTGAGTCCATTTACTTGTTCACTACAATATCTCCTGCGCCGTCGGTTGCTGTCAGTGAGATTGGTTACTGTAACCATATCAGTCAGAAGGATATTATTATTAATAAAACTACCCACCCCTTTTTAGGCGAAGTCGGTTTTCTAGATGTGGTGAAACCAAATTTCATCATTTGCTTGTAGTATTTTTTACGTTCCTTTGCTCTCTTTTTTTCCTGTTTTCTTTTTTTTTCAAGCCATCTTTTATGGAGTTCTTCTTCGGTTAGACCTGGTTTCAGAGAATCATTGGATCCGTATTTTTTATCCGCTGGAAAAAAGTTATCTATACGTATAATAAAATTCAAACTGAGTCGAATCTGTACCTTAAATATTGTTCGAAAATCTTATTGACATAATCATTATTAGCGATACAGGGGCCGAATCTATAGTATTTAGATTTTTTGATTGTCTGTCTATCCGTGTGTTTCTCTGTCTGTCTGTCTGTGACCGCATCAAGGAAAATCTACTGAAGGGTTTTGATGAAATTTCGTATAATGATAGCGGGATGATGATTTAATATCTCATCTCTGAGAAATCTACACTAAACGTGAAAATGTAAGTAGAGACGAACCCGAGCGGAGCGAGGGTGTGTCGCTAGTATATGATATGTAAAGCTTCGTGGAAAATATTTTTTGCTAAAAACCTTTACTTACGTATAAAATAGTCATCAAATACACTCTTCTTTTTATTGCTTTTGTATTTTCGTTTTAATTCATGCATCATATTGCACAAATGTATGATGGTCTTACTGTGCATCAAGATGTTGGTATATATATAAAGCATATAACTCGTAGATGCGATGTTCAGATTTTGAAGTGGCATGAACCTCCTCTCCACCATCTGGTACAGCTCTAAGACCAGCTGATATCGATAGATGATCTCGTGTGTGAGATATCCCACTTCGAACTCTAACGTGTTCACGTAAAGATAACGGATTTCGAAATACCTTCGCAAGTCCCACATCCTAGAAATAAATCATAAATAAACTTACTTATTTCAAATTCGACTACGCATTTGGCTCAGTTTGTAGTGACCATACCTTGCTGTTCCAGCGGTTACGGGTTGGAATCCCGCTGGGGGCATTCATTTATGTGATGAGCACGAATGTTTGTTTTCAGTATTCCAGTCATGGGTATTTATAATATGTATGTATTTAAAGTTATATATTTGTAGTGTATCACCTTCCTGGTATCCATAACATAAGCCTCGTAGCTTACCATGGAACTAGATGATGCTGTATGTTAATGTTCCAACATGTTTAATTATTTAAATTATGATAGGTAGTTTAGAAGATATGCGGGAACAGACGGACAAACATACATATACACTAATACGTTACGGCAGTCAATCTCAATGAGACTAGCTATCTGCGCAGGAGATATTATAGTGCACAAGTATTAGCGGAAACACAAGTGCACTTTATTCCTTTCACTCTCAAACTCAGATAGAACGATAATTCGACACGATCAGTAAGAGATCAGGCGCAGGACTAATGCTTTACGTGTTTTCCGAGGTGGCGAATGAAACACCCCCAACTACCCAACACCAGGCTATTACTGAGAATTTTCAAACAGTAAAACTTAATAACTGAACTTGATCCAACCTCGAACCCAAGACCTACAACTACCGTATTATTGTTGAAATTATAACCCTCTGTAGTCGGGTAAAATCAACTTAAAAGTAAAACTTACGCTGAACGATATGTAACAGTTGTAAAATAACATGAAACAAGTTTTTCCTCATAGCTCCCGTAATGTCGTAAATTAAAGAGAAATTTTCTAGTTTGATTCATTATATCTTCTATACTTGCTGGCTTATAATCTGGAATAATAATTTATTTTAACTAGCGACAGATCTTCGGTTTGTGCATCCCTAGTGGTATTTTTACCCGATTACGGCGATGCCCAAGGAGAGTAGTATTTGACCTGCATGTATGTATGTATTCAGCCCTTTTTAACCGACTTCCAAAAAGGAGGAGGTTATCAATTCGTCGGAATCTTTTTTTTTTCTTTTTTTTATATATGTTCATCGATTAGTCGAAGACACCTGAACCGATTTGGATTTTTTTTTGTTTCAAAGGGTCCCATCTCCCAGGAGAAAGGAACTTCTCAGGTGGTCCCATATAAATTTTATCGAAATCGGTAGAGCGGTTTTAAAAAAAATCATCAATAAACATTTTTTCTTAAATAAATTGCTTAATTGAATAGGTTATTAAAAAACTTTCTTCTTACAAACTACCTGTTTATTACGTCTACCCTAAAAATGGAAAAATAAAAACTTTTTAACAAAAAATAAAAACCGACTTCCAGGCACTAAAATATAAAAAATAACTAAACTGAGGTTTTTCTTTAGAATAGATACCTAATCAGATATTTTCGAAGTCGGTGCCAGCCTACAATATTATAAGACATGAATATCTAATAGGTAAATATGTATTTTACGTATCGAAATATATTAGATTTGCTTTGCATCGGCTGGCCATAATCCACTACGCTGGCCAAGTGCGAGTTGGCGGACTTCACATGTCTTTTGAAAACTTACAAAAACAAGAAAGAGGTAAAGCCTAGTATTATAAATACATAAACTTCTACAAGCAATTGATAACCTACTATCTGTTAACCTGGTAAGTAAGCCAAAAGCGTGTTTTTAAGTTTATAAAGCGAGAATTAGGATATTGTGAAAATTTCTTTGTTTGATTTGTACTTCTAATGACTAATCTATACTAATATTATAAAAAGAAAAGATTTTTTGTTTGTTTGTACCGAATAAGCTCCGAAACTACTGAACCGCTTTAGATGAAATTTGGTAAGAAGATCATCGCCTAAAATTGTGAAAATGGGGATGAAAGTTCTGAAGGAAAATACTCAATAACTATACTTAGCCCGACCCCATGACTCGAACCCAGGACCTCCGGATCTGCACCAGTATCTACATGCACGCCACTACACCACGGAGACATTTTATAATTTTTTTATTATTATACCTAGTATGTAGTGTTTTCAAAGATCAGCGAGTCAGTGAGTCTTACCCTTAGTTTCATTTTCAAATGTTACAAATAAGTTGGTTGACAATTCTTTTTGGAAGGGTGTCATATCGGGAACCGTAGCCGCCACTTTTATTGTAACCATGGACAGATATACTAAAAATTGTTTAAACTTTATATTAAAATATTAAATTCTACGTTTATCTATAGATATAAATATTATAATACTAGCAGCTCAGCCTCGCTTTGCTCGGTTTCGCCCCTAGACAAACAAAAACAATTCTATTCCGATCCTGATGTATGAACTATATTATTGTAAAGTTTCATTAAAATCCAATCATAGTTTTTGTGTACTAAGCTGTATAAGTTACTATAGTTTTTTAACTATCCCACGGGAACTCTTTAATTTTCCGGGATAAAAAGTATCTAAAATGTTGACCGAGATTATAAGGTACCACCACGCAAAATTTCATTTTAATTGGTCCTACAATTTCAGAGATTAGTGGTTAAGACAAGTGATAATCATGTTGAAAATGATTCACACATGAAAATATCAGAGGTGATACAGGTGATATTAATATTCGAGACCCGGGATTTGAACCCGCTTCACTCGGTTTCCCAAGCGAGCTCATTACCACTGGGCTGCCACTGCCTTAACAATAGTAATACTTACCTAAAATTATTAAACATTTTAAAATCTTCATCACAATATGATACCATTATAGATTAGAAAGAAATTACAGCGCAATAAATGTTTTATACTACTTCAATCTTAGGTACTTATTGTGTGTAAAATGGTAATTAAAATATAAGTGCCTCTATGTTATACCAGCAATTGATAAGTGATATATTATGTACTATTTTTTATGTATTTACTAGTTCTTACCCGCGGCTTCGCTCGCGTAATAAGTGCGGAAAGGATCAAAGTTTGATCCCAGGATGCAATCTATGTCCTTGCCAAATTTCAACGAAATCTGTTATCTGATTGATACTTATAGATACACTAGCGACTCACCCTCGCTCCGCTCGGGTTCGTACCTAGTAAACATTTTGGCTTTTTTTTATTCCGAATCATAAGAAAAGTCTTTTCCAAAAAATATTGGAGTGGACCACCCTTATCACTTAGGGGTATAAAAAATAGTTTACGTCCTATTCTCAGACCTACTCAATATACACACAAAATTCCATAAGAATCGGTCAAGCCGTTTCGGAGGAGTTTTGTTACAAACACTGTGACACGAAAATTTTATATATTGGATTTATAATCTTCTAATATATAAAATTTCCATGTCACAATGTTAGTTACCGTACTCCTCCGAAACGGCTTTTTACCAAACTTTATATACGTATTCAGTAGGTCTGAGAATCGGCTACTATCTATTTTCCATACCCCTAAGTGATAAGGATAAGGGTGGTCCTCCCAGACCCCACCCCAGGGACGAACCCGAGCGGAGCGAGGATGAGTCGCTAGTATTAGTATAGATATGCCCAAAAATACTTTCTAAGCATATTCTTATAGAGTCTCAATATTAATTTCTATGCTTTTTAGTTTAAAACGAGGAAATCTCCAATTTCACAGCATCTGAAAGAAAGAATAATTCTAATTTTGGTCACAGTAACTTTAAGAATTATGGATTTTCATACAAACTAATCCCTTTTTTACTACTTTAGGGACTTAAATGTAAATATGCTGCCTATCTGCGTGCCAAATTTCAAGCTTATATACTAGCATTGCCCGCGGTTCCGCCCGCGTGTTGATGACCAAAACCCAAATTATTAGGTTTTACATATTAGTATACTCTTACGTTGCAGTTTTTGTATTTTTTCTCAGAAATGAGACATTTTTCCGCGGTAAAAAGTATCCTATATGTTGATCCGGATAACCAGCTATCACCATACCAAATTTCATCAAAATCCCTCTAGTGGTTTTTCACTGATGCGGTAACAGACAGACAGACAGACGGACGGACGGACACACAGACAAACAGAGAAAAATTCTAAAAACTATAGATTCGGCCTCTGCGTCGATTATAATACCTATTTCAATAAGATTTTCCAAAAAAATATCTAATGTACAGATTCGGCTCAGTTACAATTTTATTATATGTATAGATATACTATACTTTTCACCACCTGATCCCCCAGGTGGTGATGAGGGGCTCACCCGCTAAAAGAGCCAGTACTACCCACTAAAACCCGACATTCCCCTCCCCTCCGCCTTAATGGGACGCCGCAGGATCGCTTGCGCATAACTACTACGGCGCGCTCTGGTGCTTTGGTGGTCTGTCTAAACGTTAGGCAGACCACCAAACCATATTACTATACTAGTTGTTGAAAATCAACCATATTCATTATTGAAAATTTGAGGAAAACATGTATGAATAAGAATTTACCTATCTATAAAAAAAAAACAATTTTTTTTTATTGATAACACTATAGCTCGCCAATAGCTACTGAATAAAAAAAAGAAAATCGTTTGACAAACAGAGGAGGAAAAGGTACTGCACTGTTTTGTCTTTGCCTATTTATATATAACTCGCGACTCACCCTCGATTCGCTCGGGTTCGTCCCTATATTGCTTCCCCATACAAACTTTTATCCCCATTTTCACCCCCCTTAAAGGATGATTTCCGCCATAAAAAACTATCCTATATCTTTCCCAGGATCTCAAACTATCTTATTAAATTTCACATAAATCGGTTCAGTAGTTTCGGAGTTTCTCTTTATAATATTAGTATAGATAGATATTCTAAGATTTCGTCATTAATTAGATATAAAGAAAAAAAACTGATAATCGGATGAATCAAAAAATATTCATCGGAACATTGCCGATTTGTAATTAATAATTAATAGGTCAAAAAATAATTAAAACAAACGGACATATTAATATGTTTTAATATATTATTTATTCATTTAAATTCGATCTCCATGTGACGCGTCTTCGGCCACCTGGTGTCGATCTCGGTGGACCAGGCGGCGTGGTGGGTGGAGTACTCTCATATTTTCTGACTATATCGTGAAAAATGCCCTTTTCAAGACGAATCTCGTTGTAATCTCCTTCTAGAAATTATTTCTTTGATTCATTTATACAGATAGTAAGTACAGGTCTAGATGAAGTAAGTGTTACGTTCTTAGATTAACGCGAATATTTGTCATCACATACATATAATAAAATTGTAACCAAGAACCAAGAATCTGTACATTAAATATTTTTTGGAAAATCTTATTGAAATAGTCATTATTATCGATACAGAGGCCGAATCTATAGTTTTTAGAGTTTTTGTCTGTCCGTCTGTCTGAGAGAAAACCACTGGACCGATTCTGATGAAATTTGGTATGATGATAGCTGATTATCTGGGTCAACATATAGGATACTTTTAACTACGGGATAATATCTTATCTCTGAGAAATCTATACTAACTGTTATAACGTACCTGAGGACGAACCCGAGCAGAACGATGATGAGTTGCTAGTCTACTAATATAAAGCCATAAATTCCTATACTATGATATTATTGTAAAAAACTCACGCATTACGTGATAAGCATTCATCAGTTCTGGTACAGTATATGTTGACTCTTCAAAGGCCTTCATGTCGGCGTATTTGCGATATATTTTGAGCATACGTTGAAATCTCTCCTGGATGCCCGCGGCTATGAAACCCAATTCATAAGTGATGCTGTGACTGTGTCTATCTTTTATCTTCTCAGCGTGTCTCAACTTGTATGTTGTATCTTTAAGAATTATTTTAGTTAAATTAGTGTTAATTTTTAATATCTAATAATTTTTAAATGGTTTTTAGACCAGGGCTCTCCCTCTCGATGTGTCATATTGTTGTAGTGGGAGGCCTCATTAGCATCCAGTAATCCAGCCGTCTGGGTGGATGGTGTACAATGCAGGTTGTTCCAGGTACTTCTCTGATAGCAGAGTAGACCGTTGGAGCAACTTCTCAATTGTTGTGGTCTATCTCGGTAGAACTGCCGTCGGGGTATCATGGCTGAGTGCGTAAGCGATACTGGGATGCCCCATTAAGACGGGGGAGGTTGCGTTGGGTTTTAGTGGGTAGTACTGGCTTTTGTAGCCGGTAAGGTCCGACATAATCACCTGTGTATATACAGATAATATGATTTATAGTATGTATAAGATGGCTACCTCGTATTAGTTCTGCTGTCATGTTGATAAGATGAGGGTACATCAGGTGCTCAGCCCAATCTTCCCATGGCAAAGGTTCCGTTGGTGGTCGCTGAGCCATAATCCATGAGTTTTTGAGTACTAAAACATATATAGGTAATAGTAATTGATATATAAAAAAATCTAATCAAATTAAATTAAAATTTTAATATGTTTGTCTGTCTGTTCGTTGATTTTGACGGGATTTTCACTGGCAAAAAAAAGGCTGACGTTATAAAGAGTAACTTAGCAAATATCGCAATTAAATTAAAACAAATCAATAATTAAATAAGGCATATTGGTCATATTACAATCATATATTTATTGAATATCATATATGGAAAGAATATAATATTAACATGTTACCATGGCAACATGGCAATGTATTCTATCTTTTTCTCTCGCCGGCTTAATCTATATATCTATGTGTTTGTCTCTTTCTCGTGTCACATTTCTGTTTCATCGAGTTTCAAATTACAATAATTTAAAAGAAGTTTCACTTCAAAAAGAATTAAGGTTTCGCTAAAAAAAATTAAAACGTACCTAACCACGCAGCCGAGCGAAGGGGCGGTAAGTCGCTGGTTATCTTATAAGTGGAATAATAATAACTTACATAATATAATAATAGCTAACATTGTTAGATTTTTATTCCGCAGAAACGTGGAGAAGAAATCTGAAATCAAACCAGTTTAATACTTTCTTAGATGTATGCAAATATTTGACATGATATAGGCAAATTTTTAATATCTTAAATTACATTGTTGCAATTTTTGCAGGGATCTTTGATTATTTTGAAAATTTAATAAGGCCCAATATGTTACTCACTGATAATGTAACTTTTGATAAGTGAAAGAATTTTTAAAATTGGTTCAGTAGTTTTTTAGTTTATCCATTACAAACAAACATACAAAAAGATCATTTTTTTCTCTTTATAATACATATTAGTATCTTGTAGATTGTAAATAAAACTATCACTGGCACTATAGTCACGGGGGAAAGTATAATTGCTGTAAACATTAGCAGACCAATCTCCCTCGTGTCTTCTCCATTCTACGTGACATTGGCGAAGTAATCTGTGCTCAACTGTCACGCTTTGAAGTCATTTACAAGACAATTGAATTGAAAACATTCGAAACGTCAGGAAAAATCCGAAAAATAAGTTTTATTTAATACTAGCGGGAAAAACACAAAACAAATCTATCCTTTGGGAACTGTGTATTTTTCCGGGATAAAAAGTCTATGTGTTATTCCAGACTATAATCTATCTCTGTGCCAAATTTCATCCAGATCCGTTCAGCCGTTCTGGCGTGAAAGAGTAACAAACATTCAAACTTTCACATTTATAATATTAGTATATTTTTTTATAAAAAAAAAAAATTTTGGAAACATTTTTTAAATAGATAGGTAAATTCTATTTTGAATATATGTTTTCCTCAAATTTTCAATAATGATTATTGTCGAATTTCGAGTACTGGACGATCACTATTACTAAAGTACCTCTTATCGAACCTGTGATCTTAGATTAAATAGGACGAGCCACGATACCATTATTAACAAATAGCAAACTTAAAAAAAAACCGCGAAAAAATCCGAAATGATAGTTTTTTTTTAATTTCAAATATTCGCATATGTATATCTAAGAAAGTACCTATTTAAGAGCAAACTAAATTGTAAATTCAACAGTAATTGAAAGCGATAATGACTAAGCAATAAAATAATTTTAACGATTTTGATAATGTTCTGCTTGAAATAGGTTTTCAAGATGTTAAGAACAGGTGTGACGCTGTTTTGTTTTTTGATATTATGTAAGTACTACTTTTTAGTGGGTATTTCGAAAAAAAAGCACGTCAAAAATATGTAGTATACAGAGAAAAGAAGGCACTTTGCCATTATAGAGAAACTAGCGACCTCGCTTCGCTCGTATTCGTCCCTAGGTTGATTCCCTATGCAAATATTCATCCCCATTTTCACCCCCTTAAGATTTGTGGGATAAAAACTATCATGTCCTTTGTACGGTCTTAAACTATCTTCTTACGAAATTTCATCTAAATCGGTCCAGTAGTTTCGGAGCTTATTCGGTACCAACAGATGAACATAAAAATCTGTCCTCTTTATAATATTAGTATAGAATAGTGAGTTCTTTACTCAATACACTAAATTCAGTCGTTTCAGAGATAGCTTGATATAAATATACACACAAATAACAGTTTGGTATCGAGGTAAAGATCATAGAAGCTAAATATTAAACGGTTCGTTAATTACAGATATTCTATTTGTAAGTGTTCGCACAGTTTGAAATTTGACCATAATCATATTTTTATTGACAACATTAAAGCTCGTCAATAGCTACTAAACAAAAAAAAAGAAAATCGGTTGAAAAACAGAGGAGAAAAAGTTACTGAGCTGTTTTCTCCCTAACGTTAAAAAATCATATTTGAAGTGATTTTGAAGCTATTATAGTAATTTGCCGATATCTCCAGATGAACAACATAAAACTTTCAAAATCTACGGAGAAATTCGCGGGAAAAGGCTAGCAATGAACCCACGACCTGTCACCAAAAACGCAGAGGTTACATAATCCTAAAATTCCAGTCGTCAAACACAATAACGGTCAAGCTCAAAACGATAAAGACGATATTGAATCATTCCACAAGATACTTAACCTTACTTCAGACATCATCCACGATACAGACCGTAGAGTTGGTCTTCTATTAACCATTAAGAAGAAGACTGCTGACACTGCCGCTTTTGAGGTGGGCTACCTAACCTATGATATTCAGGAAAAATTTCGTCGAATGGTAGATAAATATAACACCAGTATCTTCATGAAACCCAAGCTCTATTTAGTGGAACTTCTTCTATATTTAGAGGAGATTGAACGCCACTATTGGGAGATCAACCATATTTCCAACATGATGCATGAAATTGAAAGAAAATATAATATAGAAAGTGATTTGGACGTAGAATATGATGAGGATTCAAGAACATCTTCGTCTGGAGGGCAAACGCCTCCACAAAATTATATGGAACAAAAAACTAGGCCGAAAAAGAGAAAGACGAAAAAATTTAAGCATGACCGATATTTTAGTAACAAATACTTTTCCACAAAGAAAACCACGACGCAACGGTGGCCTATTGATTACGGTTGGGAGATTGATTACGACTGGTGGAAATAAAAATTAAAATGATTTTTCTTTATCTTCCCTCCATTTTCCACCCAGAATCATATCCTGTACCCTGTTTAGTCTTAAATAGAAATAATATCTGTATCATCCATATAAACTTTTTTATCTATCTATAGAAGCGAAGTATCATTCACTTTCTGACTACCTTTTAACTGACTAATGACGGATGAAGAAGTTTAGCCAGACAGTTTAGCGGATGAAGAGGATTAGGATGAAGAAGTGTAGCCAGACATTTGCTTGTGTTATGTATATTGATTGATATGACGACACGTTTGGCTTAGTTTGTAGTGACTCTACTTGCTGTATCAGCGGTCGCGAGTTTGAGTCCCGCTGGGGGAATTCATTTGTGTAATGAGCACGAATGTTTGTACTCCAGTCATGGGTGTTTATGTTTATAATATGTATGTATTTAAAGTTGTATATGTGTAGTGTATCAACTATCTGGTATCTATAGCACAGGCCTCGTAGCTTACCATAGAGCTAGATGGTGCTGACTGAATTTGGGCTAGTTCTATATAGATAGTTTCCATTTTTTTTACTTTTATTGCTCTTGTGGCTCATAAAATGAGATAAAATTTGTTTGCATGTATATAAGAGGAAATCTCTGAAACTACTCCAGTTATTCTAATAATGTTCTTTCAATAATTCAAAGCTATATCTATATATTATAAGTATTTTACAATAATAATTAAAAGGAAAACTGCACTTATAAACTACGATAATGGGTATATATTTGTAAAAACCATGCATAATGTTATACTAATGAATATACAGTATGTATTTCCTGTGTAATACTATAATAATGTCCTGTGAGTCTTTTCTCGACTATTCGCTACTAAATTCTACTGCAACTGCCTCGGTGGTGTAGTGGCTAGCATGTACTGCTGCACATCCGGAGTTCCCGGGTTCGAGTTTTAGGTCGGGCTAAGTTTAAGTTTGCTGAGTGGTTGGCCTGAGCTTTTGTGTTAAGATTTACTCACTAGTAACTCGGAGTTGGGAAGTTGGCAGTGCTGAGTACGTGTCACGTTGGTCCTGCGCCTTAACTGTCACCGGTTATGTCGAAGTATTTTCCATCGGAATTGGAGACTTAACAGGAATAGAATGTGCACGCGCGTACACTTGTGCACTATAATATCTTATAAAGTTGGCTAATCTCAGTGAGATTGGCCATCGCGCCGTGTCCGACTTCGGTCGGGAGGATCATGTTAGTTTTTGCTACTACTAAACTAAAAAAATTTATACGTTTAGACCGACATTACTGACCAGTCTAAAAAAATTAAATGAGTCCAAACTTGAAGGTTTTACTTCCACTATCTATCTGATGGCTCCATTATCAGAATAGATTGTATCATCATCCGGATGACACACAAATCAATTACAAGTTGGCTTAAATCGACTTCCGTAATTTGATTTTATAGTTACAGTGAAGCTAATAGAAGCGTGTTAAAAAGTCTTGGACACATTCACCAAAATCATCTATCAGCGAGTGAAATTACAATTAAAATTAGTTTTTTTCATTTCGGTGATTAGTGTGAACCAACACTACATACTACATAGATAACAGTTCTAAGGGGTTTGGCGCTGCACATAATCCATATTCATAACTCAGAAGCCTATGTACCTACCTAGTATAGATATTAAATAGCAGATTTTTTAGTTCACTTAAGGAGATGTTAATTTAATAAAGTGTTGTTATAAATTGTTATTGTTTTATCTTTTACTAGCGAATCATCTTCGCTTCGCTCGGGTTTGTCTCTGGGTACGTTTTAACGGTTTCGATTTCTTCGATTTCTCGGAGATGATATATTTTTCCGCACTAAAAAGTATCCTTAAATCCTGGACAAGCAGCTATCACCATACCAAATTTCATCAAATCCTAAAAATAAAGAAAAGAAAATCGGTACACAAACAGATGCAGAAAAAGGTACTTAACTGTTATGTTTTTACACATTTGTAAGCACAATGCTCACTCCTGAAACTTTTTCAAAATATCGAGAATTAATACAAATAAATATCTTAGTTTTACATCATAAAATTATAATTATTCTAAAATTAGTTTGTAGCAATCGGAACGCTGAAATCATATTCTCCTTTTCGTAATCATTTGTCGACCAAATTGTCAAAAAACCAGATTTATGAAACTTTTTTTACCAAAGTTACGACTTTTTCGACTCGCTTGTAGTTTTTTACCAATTGTCATTTATGAAAGTTTACGGAATACTCAAAATGCGATTACAACTCGCATTTTTCCGAATTTGTATTCATCTAATAGGTATTTTGATAAACTTTTTTCAGACATGCACTACAGGTATACGTCTACATTGAATATCGCTCCACAAAAAATTATAAACGAACTATCATGGGGCGTAAAAATGAAATTACTAAACTACCCTCCAAACCGTCGAGTTGGCATATCAATGCTTAAGTCCCAAACCGAACCCGAGACCAGATCCAGCCCAAATGAAGACAACAACATGAAAATGAAACTTTTCCGTCTAATGTACGAGACTGTTCGAGATAGCGACCGGAAAGTGAAGAGAGCTGAATTGATCAAATCGTATTACACGAACTATTCTTCTTTCGAAATCGGTTATATTTTGGGTGATATCACAGATAAATTTAATATAATCACAGATATATCATTAACTGTCAAAAGACTGTACAAAACTTGGAAACCTGTGGAACATATTAACGCGTACGAACAGATAGCTAATAAAGCGATCGAAATCACGCATTTGATTGATATGATAAACGTTATTAATAAAAGGAGATTATAATATATATTTTTTTATTGGCAGTAAGAATATCGACCATCGACTTTTAAGTAAATAAATTTAAAAAAATTAAATTATAACTGTTACATAAGTATAACTAGTGTTGTAAACTTATTTTTCTAACTGCCTCGATGGTATGTATAGCTGCTAGCATGTACGGATCTGAAAGTCGTGGGTTCGACTCCCTGGTCAGACAATGTTTAGTGTTTGACTTTTTCTGTCAAGAAATTATCGGTAACAGTCTGGAGTTGGAAAGTTGGCAATGTATCATACCTGTTCCTCGGAAAGCGTCTAAAGACAGTCCTGCGCCTGATCCTTACCCTCACCGGTCGTGTCAAATTGTCCCATCCACAACTAAGTACACTTAGTGTAAGGAATGAAAAACTTATAAATAACTTATAAACTTATAAAATAAAATATAGTGATATGGGTTTAAAAAGATTATTTTTTAAAATCCCTATCGATAATTAATAAATCTATACATATAATAAAATTGTAACTAAGTCGAATCTGTACATTAAATATTTTTTGGAAAATCTTATTGAAATAAACATTATTATCGATACAGAGGTCGAATCTATAGTTTTTAGAATTTTAGAATGTATGTCTGTTACCGCATCTCAGCAAAACCACTAGAGGGATTTTGATGAAATATGGTATGGTGATAGCTGGTTATCCGGGTCAACATATAGAATACTTTTTACCGCGGGAAAATATCACAATTCTGAGAAAAAATACAAAAACTGCAATGTAAGAGTATACTAATATGCAAAACCTAAGAATTTGGTTTTTGGTCATCCGAAAGCGGGCGGAGCCGCGGGCAATGCTAGTAATAACATAATATTACAATGTCCTCTACACTACTACACTGAGACAACTGTTACTCTATTTCTGTTACTTTCAAACTGTCGGGTCACGGGAGGATATCGCTTGAATAACATACAAGTATACCGTTGTCACGTCAGAATATGTATATTTATTTGTTTGTTTTCTAATAGCGAAATTGGATGTAGAACATATATTTTAGCTATTCCCTTTACATACTTATGATTATTATAAAAAATGGTCTACGTCCGGAAATAGAATTCGTAACCTTATGGATAAAGCAGTGTTAATAACAACATGGAGTCTCATAAGAAACAAAAAAAAACTAACTTCAAATAATGTCAACAGAGAAAAAAAACTTTTAAGTAAAAAGGAAAACGAAATAATGCGCTCGTAATGCTTTACGTAATTTTACTGATGATTGCAAAATTAGCACGAGGTTTCTTCTTAAGAAAGTATAAAAAAATCTAATTTAAATATGAATTAAACAAAACAAAGCCGTCGCTAGACGCCTGGCAGATGTGAAACATCGAAACTATTTTGTATAGAAAATATGTATGACAGGATGGTTTTTTAAAGTCAGTAAATATGACATAATTAAAAACAAAATATTCAAATATTTTTAAATCTTTATTTAAAAAATACATCATACGAGCGCGTGGCTCGTGGCGACGCAACGTGTCGATACGCCAACAGTCGATTTTACCCGCCGCATTAGATGTTTCACATCAATAAAAGAAAATTAAAACAAAAATTTCTAAAGAATCGTTAGCGACGATATTGTGTATATTACATACAAAAAAATAAATAAATTTAGTATTTCAAATTAGCATTAAGAAGATTTTTACGAGCTCTCAGTCTTATCAAACTTAACAGTCACTGATAGCATTTCTAAATATGAGTGTTAAACTTTTAATTTGTTTAGGTAAGTGTTATTTTTAACCGACTTCCAAAAACGAGGAGGTTCTCAATTCGTCGGAATCTTTTTCCTATATTCATCTTCATGATCTTTTTTTTATGTTCACCGATTACTCGAAGACGCCTTAACCGATTTGGAAAATTTTTGTTTGAAAGGGTATGCTTCCCAGGTGGTCCCTTATAAATTTTATCATTTTTAAAAAAAAATCAACAATAAATATATTTTTTAAACAAATTGTTTAATCGAATATGTTATTAAAAACTTTCTTCCTACAAATTACCTGCTCATTACGTCTACACTAAAAATATGAAAATAAAAACTTAAAAACAAGAAACGACTTCCAGGCACTAAAATGTAAAAAATAACTAAACGGGGGTTTTCATTTAGAATAGATACCTAATCAGATATTTTCGAAGTCGGTGCCAGCGGACAATATTTTAAGATATGAATATCGAATAGGTAAATATGTACATATTTTACGTATCAAAATATATTAGATTTCCTAAATCCTATGCGTCGGCTGGCACCGACTTCGAAAATATCTGATTAGGTATCTATTCTAAATGAAAACCTCCGTTTAGTTATTTTCGGAAGTCGGTTTTATTTATTTTTTAAAGTTTTTAGATTAATTTAAACCCTCAGACTGAAAAATTATATAGACGGTGTCGTGTCCGTCAAAATAAATACCAAAGTCAAAAATAGTAGCGTGGTGTGCTGTTTATGCTACTATTCTCGAGTTTAGTATACAGATTGTTTACTTTCTTTAAAGAATAAGGCCTAGATTCTTTTGTATTTTTAAGTATAAGTTCTCTTCCCCTTGAAAAAGAGATAGTTTAATATTAGCTTATTCATTAATTTTTCTTTATTAAAATAAAATCTGTAGCTATTTTTATTTATTAACATTTATTTACTTATCACTCAGTATAAAAATTGTTATTTGTATACTATTTTAAAACATTATTGTTTGGCTTCATGTTTAGTTCTATGACACTCTGTCTGTATTATTCCTTAGTCTGAGGTTAAATCATACTGTTTCATATACTGAAACTTCTTATGCTTTATAATTTATAAATACTCGTATGTAGAACACTAGCGACTCACGTTCGGGCTCGTTCCTAGGCTACTAACTTTCATCCGCATTTTTACCCCTTTAAGGGACGGTTTCCGAGATAAAAACTATTCTATGTCCATTCCAGGGTCTCAAATTATCTTCTTACCAAATTTCATATAAATCGGTTCAGTAGTTTCGGAGCTTATTCGGTACAAACAAACAAAAAAAATCCCGTTGTTATTCCAGAAATTATCCCTTAAGGTGGTGAAAATAGGGATGAAAGTTTGTATGTGGAAGCAAAGCAAGTAGTAGGTATATAAGTAGATGTTAAACTTTTCAGTATTTATTCGAATAATACTGGCGCAATATCCAAATACTCTAGATAAAACAAGCAACGAAGATAAAATTAAGTTAAGGATTCTCGCACACGAATTGTTGGCTGAAGCAAAACTAAAGATACATCAAACAGATGAGATAAGGGATAGATTGTCCAACCAAATTGGCTTTCAAATCGGCATGATCATTGGTAGGTCGTAGGTTTAATGTGAATTGCTTAATTTGTACACTTTTTGATATTAAGTGAAGTATCATAGATTGATGTATTGATGCGTGAAGCGGGTTCAAATCCCTGATCTCGCACCTCTGATATTCTCATGTGCGAATCACTTCCAGCATGATGACCACTTGTCTTACGGTGAAGGAGAACATCGTGAGGAAACCTGCATGTCTGAGAGTACTTAACTATGTAGTTGTCGAAAGACATGTGGAGTCCGTCGCACTTTTCCGTTGGACTTTATCAGTTATGGCTTGATCCCCCTCGCATTGAAGGGAGGCCCGTGCCCAGCAGTGGGACGTTAAAAAGGGCTGAATACGTACATACAGATTGATGTGTCATACTACATACTAAGTATTACTCGTAAATCATAAAAATGCGAGTTTGTATGTTTGTTTCTCACTCCTTCACGTCGTAACGGCTGGACGGATTTGTATGAAATTTAGTACACAGATAGACTATGAGCTGGGGTAATTATATGAGATACTGCTAAATACATATCCGACCGAAGGGTAATTCGCTAGTTTTTAATATTAATTGTATTAATTTAGTTCAAAAACAAAAATCAAATGAAACGTTGGTTTTGATTTTTCTTTATATTCCAGGTCAGATTCGGGAAAAATATAAATATATGTTGGAGATATATCGACAAACAACAAATAAGTACACAGAAAAGTCCAAAATTATAATGCCTTCTGTGCCAAATAGATTGCCTATACACTATTTCGTTAGGTATTCATATTTATTACAAGATGTGTTCTTCTGATCGCTTTCGGCCACGGCGGCCAATCTCATTGAGACTGGCCAACTGCAGGAGATATTATAGTGCAGACACAAGTGCGCTCTCTGTCCCTGTCACTCGTATACTCCAGTTGGAGGATAATTCGACAAGACCGGTAAAAGATCAGGCACAGGACTGACATTTCTAGGTCCCAAGGGAGTCTAATTGTGCCAACTTGCCAATTCACCGCTGCTTCTCAAAAATCTTAATAGAAAACTCAATAACTGCATTTGTTTCGACTCTGGACTCGAACCCAGGACTTGCAGTGATTCATGCTACACTAGACACAGGTGAAACAAAATTGGAACCATTGGAAACATACAACAAAATTGGATGGCTCTAATTTTGGTGAATATTCAGGATTTTTAGTTAAATAAAAAAATGATTTAAAAAAAATGAGTGGCAACATTTTTTTTAAATATAGAAACAGCGACTAAACTTGTGGTAAATTTCTTATAAAATACAGTGCCATCTATGAATATTAATATTATACAAATATTAATATTAATACAAACTAATTATCTAAATGTATTTTTACTCTGTAAATTGCAGAAACTAAAAAGAAAATTACAAATATACTTAATTATATATATAAAACAAATGTACACTTAATTATTACTGTACAAGTCATGTCCGCGTGGAATTGTGGCAAGAATGCTGGCTGCAGTCCCCCTCCGAATGGGAGTTCCTATTGCTTGGACAAAAAATGTGCCAGCTCTCTTTTCTTGATTTAATTATACATTATATCAAGAAAAGAGCATATATGTATATTACATTAAAGAATTAAAAAAAAACGTAGTGGAATTACATTTGTATTACAGATTGGAAATCATAATAGGATTGGAGATAGATATTGAAAGATTGATAGATGTACTCCTCAACATACCCGAGTATATGCTAAAAAAACCTAATTTTGGACATGGCTCACCTCCACCTAACGATGGATCAGGTAAAAATTCTCTTTCTCTTTCCATTACCATACATCTCTTTCTCGTATAAAGACTAGCCCATGCCCGCGCCTTCGCTCGTGTAGTTGTTTGAAACAAACTTCCTTCTTTCTGCGAGTGTAATGTTACAATATTATTTCCTGTATAATCTATATAATAAAAATGAAATTATGTTCGTTGATGTGGACTGATTTAGCTGTTTTTTTACTAAAAATTTGGAAAAGTCGTCTAAAAATTGGCGAATTCAGGAAAGACGCAAAGGGTTTATTAGGGGACTGCTTATCATCAAAGAATTCCACTGAGTTTTTTCCCCAGTTCTCAGGGTTGAAGCTTTTTCTTTCTGAACTGGCCACGGTGGCATTCAGTAAAAATTGAAATGATTAAATACTTAATTCTTTTTTTTATTTGAATTTCACGTTAGTTAGTAGAACGGCCATTAGAGAACTTTTATAAAACATTAAATATAAATAATATTGAGACATTAACACACAGCACCATATAGTTCCATGGTAAGCTACGAGGTCTGTGTTATGTTTACCAGATAGCTGATACACTACACATATATTACTTTGAATACATACATATAAACACCCATGACTGAAATACAAACATTCGAGCTCATGGCACAAATAAATGACCACTGGGACAGCAAGTAATGTCACTACAAACTGAGCCAAATTTTTAATAAACATTATTTCTATAGTTCCTCCAGGATACCCACCAGCCAAACCTCCCGGAAACATAAAAAGAAAAATGAGGCAGGAATATTTGCTAAGAAAACTCAATCTACCCACAAATTTAAGCACTACAAAGAAGAGATTCTATAAGAAATGGCCGGTGGAAGGAACTTGGTCTTTGGAAAAAATGAATTATTAATTTTAAAGCAACGAAATATATAAAATATAAAACATCAGGAAAATTAATTAAGTATATAAAAATTTACTTTTAAAATTGTGATTAGATTGATAATAATAAATGAATGCTAGAATAGTTTTATCAAATAAAATATTTAATATACTAAATATAATTTTTAATGTTTCTAATTTCTTCTATGTAAATAAAAACAAATGTTTCTTTGTATATTTGTTTGCCCTCTATATATTCCTGAGCCATCTATCCGATCGTGACGATATTTCGGCGAGTTGTTCCTCGCTAAAAAATAAATATTGTTTGTATACAGTATATTACGTCGTTTTCTACGTCTTTCGAAACTGCTGGCTGCATTTTACTTGTGATTTATTGCGCTCAGAAACAGAAAGTCAACAAAATATATACCATTTTTGCATTTCCCTATAGGTATTATATACATTACTATTATACATATTACCCTATAGGTATTATATATTTACAGTACAGATTTTAATAAATACTAGGTTGCTTCCCAATACAAACTTCCATCCTCACTTTCACCCCCCAAGCGATGATTTCCTGAATAACAACTTTCCTACGTCCTTCCCAGGGTCTCAAAGTATCTTTTTACCATTAAATTTCATCTAAATCCGTTCAGTAGTTTTGGAGCTCATTGGATACAAACAAATCTTTCTTCTTTATAATAGGTATTAATATAGAAAATAGCTCGCTAGTTTTATATCCTTAATAGTTAATGTTAAATCGGATTATTATTATAATTGAGGACATGTGTGTGCGTCTGTTACTCCATCTAACTACAACGGCTGGACCGATTTGGATGAAATTTGGTACACAGATAGATTATGAGCTGGAGTAACACTTTAAAGACGTATCGGAGCGAAGCGAGGGTAAGTCGCCAGTAAAACAACATTTTTTAATTTTATTCCACTGTTAACATTTTTTTATTCCACTGTTCACCACCACTGATAGTCAATTTCCCATCCATAATCTATGGGCCACCATTTATTGGGGGGTTTCTTAGGTTTTTGGGGTACTCTATTACCTTGTCCCTTTAGGAATAATTCTCTTTGCTTCTTCATCTCTTTTTGTTTCTTCTTCCTCTGCCTTTGTCTTTCTCTTTGAAGTCTTTCGAAATTCTTCTGAGAATTTTTTAACTCATCTCGGCTGACTGAAGGATTTTGTACATGAAATTCTTCCATGTGACTATATTTTCTTGGTATTTCGTTCACCGTGTTAACTAAATGATAGATTTCGAGGAACAGCTTTTGGACCAGTTCAGTAGTTTTTATAACGTCGAAGACTACGTCTGAAGGAAACTCGTAGAGATGTTGAATGAGACCTACCATTTTTCTGTAACTGAAAAATTGATTGAGATATTATTCTAGAAGTCTTTTGTTCTGGTTTTGTCGGTCTATTTATTGGTAAACTTCAAAAACCCTTAACCCCTCCCCAACCCCTTGAATCTTGATCTCTCACTGATATTGTAAAATTGTATTCCAATTAAGATACAAGAGAATTCTATTGCTAAATAAATATATATATATATAAAAAATGTGTTAAAGGCATATTATACAATAAATGATTTTATAGGAACAAGCACATTTTGGAAATGATATGATCGCCTCTAAAGTATTTCAATGTTGAAGAATTATTGTAATTTATAATATTGTTAATAAAAAGTTTTTTTGGCAGTTCTTCTCAGGACTGGGCTTTTTTTCCTAACTTCTGATAGATTAATGACGTTCAACAAAAATTCTAATATTTTACCTCTTGAATTTAAATCAATTTAGTCTCAATGAGATTCCAAACCGAAATCGGTGATACTATAAGATCTTGACAAATGCCGATAGGAACCGAACTCCATACTCACCGCTCTAATATCTCTGACACAATGTAACCGACTTCAAAATGAGGTGATACTTCATATTTAGCTCTTATTTTTAAGACTGAGTTAACTTTTTGGGTTCCACGGTTATTGTAACCAATCATTAATTGGAGTAACCTCTCTGGGAGAAGACCGGCATTGTTCCAGTCGTTGTAGTCTTTCGAAAGAACGATAGGTAAGATGCCTAGAGTAATAAATCTTATTTAAATCTTAGGTTTAGGACGACACGTTTGACACAGTTCGTAGGACTCTACTTGCTGTGCCATCGGTCGCGGGTTCGAGTCCCGCTGGGGCCATTCATTTGTGTGACGAGCACGAATGTGTGTATTCCAGTCATGGGTGTTTTTAATATTTATAACATGTATGTATTTAAAGTTATATATGTGTAGTGTATGATACGTTGATGTACAAACTTATATCAATAAAATATTTCTTAGAAATGTTTATAAGTATACCAAAAATATAATAAATCCCTATCACGTGTGAACTCTTTATAACCTATATTATTTTTGGCTTAATGCTCTATCCGCCTATCAGTTTTATTAAAATCGGTTTAGCAATTTCGTTAGAGAAGTAGGTAAAGACAAGCAAACAGAAAAATAACGAACTTGGCTATTATATATGTGATGCACTTTACGTAGTAGTTTATGAAATCACAGATGCAGGTGATACTTCAATTATAAATACTTACATATGTAGGGTTATCTTTAATCGATTTCACAAAAAAGGTTCTTTTTTGAGACCTTATTTTAATTTTTTTTAAATAGACTGTGAGGTTGAAATCTAGTTTCAGTCTCAAAGAAATATAATAAAAATATTACAATCCTAAGGTAAGTATTAAATATGCGAAAATTTGTTTGTGTGTATGTTTGTCACTCGTCTTCTTCGAATTCGTCATGCTGTAACGGCTGGGCAAATTTGGATGGAAGTTAGTACACAGATAGGTTTTGCGATGGAGTAGCACATGTTAGATACCTAGGGACGCTAGTTACTTTTATAAAGATTTTTCGGTGACTTTTTTTACGGTGAAGGAAAACATTGTGAGGAAACCTGCATGTCTGAGAAAACCTAACCAGTTCTCGAAAAAGGCTCAGTCCGCCCACACTTGCCCAGCGTGGTGGACTATAGCCTGATCCCTCTATTGAAGGGAGGCCCCCCCCAAGCAGTAGGACGTTAAAAAGGGCTAAATAATACTAATTCTATATCTAACTTACATGATAGTATCAGAAGTTTTTGCGTGATCATATCGCTATTACCAAATCAATAAAAATATTCCAATTAATTGCAAATTACATAATCAATTTTATTGTCCTTCATCATAATTGCTAAATAACAGTCTACACGTTTCTCTTATATTTTAACGATTAAGCTTTATAATTTCACAGCTCTCTACATAACAGTTTTGAAGTGAAACTTTGTTAGAATCGTTGTGATTTGAAAGTGGATGAAGCGAAACGAAAAGGCGACACGAGAAAGAGACAAACACAAATATATAGGATTAAGCCGGCGAGAGAATGAGACAGAATACATTGCCATGTTGCCATGGTAACCGTTGTTATTGTCTGACAAATATATAATATTACATTCTTTCCGTATATGATATCCTATAAATATAAGTATGATTGTAATATTTTGCCTTATTTAATGATTAACTTGTTTTAATTTAATTGCGATATTTGCCAAAGAAGTTTTACTTCTACCGCGCGTAAAAGTTACACGCACCCCATTTTTTTTACAAGAATAAATGGGCAATCTTACTAATATTATAAATGTGAAAGTTTAGATGGATGTTCGTTACACAATCACGCCAGAACGGCTGAACGTATCTGGATGAGATTTGGCACAGAGATAGATTATAGTCTGGAACAGCTCATAGGTTAATTTTTATCCCGAAAAAATGCACGGTTCCTGTGGAATAGATTTGTTTTTGTTTTTTGGTTCCCGACATTTCTAATGCTTTATAACAGTCACGGTCACGGGAGATACTAAGGTTTTAGGCTTATTAATATAGGACCATCGATGAAAGATAACTTTAAATCTATGATACACTAAAATTGAGTTAGCACACCACCCTTTACATAACTGGGTTTTCGGAATAAAAATATCCTATGTCCTTTCCAGGGTCTCAAACTATCTTCATACCAAATTTTATCTAAATCGGTCAAGTAGTTTTTGAGTTTATTCGTTACAAACATACAAAATACAAATCTTTACTCTTTATAATATTATATACTCGTATTAGTGTAGATGTAGACTAGTGTAGATAATAGTTTTATATCTAAAGTAAAGATGGCGTAAATAAAACAAATGGAGGGTAAGTACATATTTTATTTCACTAGTAAATTAAACCGTGAGTCACTGAGAATTCCGTTTGAAACATTCTAATACTACGATATTCAATATAATTAGAGAAAAACATCGGCATATCAATTTGATATAATCGATTACATATTTTGCAAGCCGCGAAAAAATATGGCGACGATTTCTAGTTTTTTTTTTAATTCGCAAAGCCGAAAACGTTTTTGGGGCGATTTTTTAAAAATCATAACTACCCTCAAATCAGTAAGTACTAGAAACTGTAACTTTTCGAAAAAAAAACCCAAACAAAAAATAAGTTCATCGAGTTCAAATTTGTGATTCGCCAAAAAGTCGCCCCAAAAGAGGTTTTTAATCGCGAAACCCTTCATTCCATATAAAATTCAGAAGTGGCATTTAAAAAATATCTGTACACCATTTACATAAACGTTAAACACGGTACCAAGTGTTACGATAGCCGAAAATACCCGTGAGTCCATGCGACAAAAGTGTCGCGCAAAAGTCGCAAGTGTGCACTTCTCTTATCTATTCTGGCGTTTTTCGCACTCGTCTATGCACCGACAGTCCTCTGTTATAGAATCTAAGGACATTAGGCTCTCTTGAGACGTTCTAAGACATGCTTTGCATCTTGAGTCTATAGACGTACCACTTTGAGAGTTAGCGTCTTCAGACACAGATTCGAGCGAGCGCAGACTTTCCACTGAAGTCAATTTGTACGATCGTCTAAACTCTGCTATTTCATCCTCACTCATATTCAGCGCTAAAAGAGAATCTCTCGCCATTTTTCCTAGTGAAGACACTTTCTTCTTTCTTTTACTCAATATTGTGTCCATTTTCGTTAAAGGACACGGTTTGTTTAGACTTTCTGGCAAAGATTTCGGACTAGATCCACTTCTAGACCGTAATTTTGATCGTCTTTCCGGAATATCCCGCGGAGTTGTGCTCTCTGGTACTTTAAAAGCTATAGTTTTTAATTTGGGACTATCCTTCTCTTCTAAAACTGGCCTTTTGCTCAAATCTTCTAGAGAATTCGACTTTTTAATTTTCGCCCGTTCCGGAATAATGGGCGAACTTTTCCGACCTTTGATCTCCACTGTAAATATTTCTGGAATTTCGACAGCCTCATCGATTATTAATTCCGGAGATAGATCGAGCATTTCTTTTATTTCCGCATCCATTAACTCTTGCGCGAGAGATTCTTGTTTGTCCGTACTAGTTGATTCGAACTCTTGATTTTCGAACATTAAATATGATAATGCGTCTTTCCCTAAATCTACGCTTTCCAATTCTTTTTGTGGGTCCATCTCGTCTTTTTCGTCAACTTTGTCGTCAATATAGGCTAACTGTATCAAATCTGCTGCCATATCGCAAGTTTCGTCGATATTCGCAATCGGAGCTTTGTCGGATGAGGGTTTTTCGTCAGATTTCTCCGTGATCGATTTATTTTTAATTTGTCTATCCGTAACGTCCATTGCTAAGGCTGTTGTTGCTATGCTGGACGTTAGAGTGTTCTCAGGACTAATATTTTCTTTAATTCCTCTTATTACTTTTGTAGGAAGTTTATCAACTGGCTGGGCGGTTTCAGGACTTGTTTGTTTTTCCATAGAGTTTTCAGAATTTGATTTGAGAACCGACGCGAATGACCTCGGTCTCACATCTGTGGGCTTCTCTTCTAACTTAACTAACGTAGCCTCGCTACAATCTTCGGATTTCTTTTCGGACTTATCGCTGGATTCATCATCGTATACTCTTAATTCGTTGGGCATTATGAGATCAATATTATCACATTCCGGCGTGTCCATTTTATCGCTTAAAGCTAAACATTTTTGTACTAAAACATCGGTGGTTTTTTCGGTAACTTTTGCATTTTCAGAGTTCATCGGAAATTGGAACTCGCTTAACGTGTCCGTATCGGTTGAGGGTGTTTTGCTATCGAGTTTTCTCGAAAACGACTCATCAACAAATGAAACTTGAACTCTCTCGGAGAGAGTCGAATCTGTCGCTTCGGACAAACTGTCTGTGTCTTCTTTGTCAGTTTTCTCCGTAACACTACCCCAGGACCAAAAAGAACTGGTTAGAGAGGAATCTTTTCTTGGGGGTGTGTTCGATGCCGACTTCTTTTCATCATCACTGCTCGACCTTGAAAAAAGACTGCTGGGATGTTGGAATAAGCTTAGCAGTTTTTCCAAATTAGTCGGCAGTTTGTATTCTATTTTTTCCTCTGGCTTTGGCAAGTGGAAGCTCGCAGAAGGGGCCACCCACGATATTTTTCTCATACGTTCTAACCCCTTAGATTTTAAAGCCGGTACGTCCAAAAGACTTGACGTCCGTTTTGGAGATGTCAACGTTTCTTGGTCCTTTTTCACCGATTCCCTCAAACTGGAACTGCATGTCAAAGTACCCTCGTTAGACGAGCCATCCTCTTTGATTTCCGAGGGATTTTGCAAAGAATACTCAATCCCGGAGTCCGCTGACGTCACCATAACCTTCTCCTGCTTAGCAGAATCCACTGAACTAACACTCGCTTCCAAACTCGATAACGAACCGTGAATCTTTTTCAAATTACCAAAACTAAGCGGTGAGACACTTTCGTTCGAACTTATCGATACATTCAAATTCACCGGTGTCACATCACTAGCCGATTCGACGCTGCTGTCTTTAGATATCGATCGATTCTCATTACTAGCGGGCATTTTCGATCTACCCTCGTTCAAACTTTCGACCGAACTTCCAGAAATTTCTAGGGAAGAGCTACTGTCACAGAAGGCACTGCTTGGTTTCCGCATTAGTCTTGAAACTTCTAGATCAGGACTATCCAGGCTAGATTCACTTTTATTTTTTTTTAATATTACACTATCACGAACAGGTACAATGTTATCTAAATCTAGATTTTTCGACGACAGATTATTAAAACTTTTGATATCTTCTGTATCTATACTTTTAACGTCTACAACATTTGGCTTATCATCTAAAATATTTACATTTTGGTCGCAATGTACTTTGGTTGCACTGTTATCTTTTTCTTTTTTATCTGTGTCACTAATATCTAATGCTTTAACTATATTAGTCTCTATATTTTCATAGTCTATGGTCTCATTATGAGACAAATAGATAGTATCACCATATTCCCTATCAATAATTTCATGTTTGTCCTTTACATCACTAGTCTTAACTAAGTCACTATCAACAATGATTTCGTTGTTCAACGAATCGTTCGCACTTTTCACATCACTATTCACACTTTCACTTGACACTTCATCGACTTCAATTTGAATTTCACTAAATTCAGAAACTCCAGGGCCCGAAGAAGATTGTTCGGGACCAATTATCACAGATTGCGTTTCTTTCAATATGTCATCAGTTTTGTGAAGTTCAGTTTTATGTTTCACTTCACGGACTTCATCGGGAACTTCAATTTGAATGATGAAGTCAGTCATTATTTCCTCAGTTTGTGTCACAACATTCCGAATATGTGTTCTTGGGATTACAACAGTTTTACTAACAACGTAATCAGGTTCTTTTTTTTGAACAGTCTTAACATTTTTATGTACATCTGTATGTATGCCTGTCACTTTATTTATATCTTCAATACTTTTATCTTTATCATTATCTTTTTTCACTTCAACTTTATCGCAAACATTTGTTTTTATATTCATTGTTAATTTGTCATCTTTTCTTTCACTTTTCGCTTCAAACACGTCATCTACCAATACTTCATCACTTTTAACATTTTTGCGGTTAAAATCATTGACAGCCGCTTCTATTTTGACACTTTCCTCTACATTTGCTTTGGACGTTTTGACATCTTTGTATTCGAACACTGTTTTCTCTTTCTCATCGCTGAGAGTTGCATCATTTTTGGTCTCGCTTATATCTGGGGATGGAGAAGGAGAAGGAGAGGGCGAAGTGGGGGGTAGAGTGGGATTATATATCGAGTCGTAGTTTCTCGTGACAGAAAATCTCGAGGAAGTTTTCCTTGGTGCTTGTTGCACTTTTATTTGTGGAGGCTCTGCTACCTGGAAGAGAGAAAAATTACCATGAGTGAGAACTCACTCAACTAGCAAACTAAACACTTCTTAAGACATAACACCTCGTCTTATCGCCTCTACTGGCTACCTTGATGGTCTAGTGGATGGATCTGAACGTCATGCGTTCGAGTCCCGGATCGGGCCAAGTTTATTTACTGAGTTTTTCTGTTAAGAACAGAGTTGAGAATTTGGCGTTGTTTGACAAGAGATTTGATTGATGGGTTATTTTTATTGTGATTGTTTTTCACCCAAAAAATTGGCATTGCTACTCAGCGAGGAAATGCACCTAGCATTATTGCCACAATTCTACGCAAATGACTTATACAGTAATAATTAAGTACATTTTGTACATAAAAATAAGTACTTTTAAAATTTCCTTATGTTTTTATATATATATTAGTATAAAAATAAGTTATAAATACAGCTATCGCCATGCCTCGGAGAGCATGTAAGGTCGTCGTCGTCGGCTCATCGGAGTATGAGAGTGAGAGGGACAGAAAGTGCACGTTGTGTATCTCTCTCCCTCACACTCCCTGCACTATAATATCTCCAGCAGTTGGCTAGTCTCGAATGAGATTGGTCGCCGTATCCGAAATCGGTTGTGAGGACATTATTATTATTATTTTATTATTATAGTACAATAATGTAATAGACATACAATACCTGTACAACTTTGAATCTCGAAGGTGTCGGACAGTATGTTCTCGAAGCGCTCGGACTCTCGGACACTCGGTCTGGTGTCACCGGTATCACCTGGAAGAACATAGTTAACAAATCTATACAATAATATAAATAAAACTCATATAATTTTTACAACCGTACATATTTCCGGGATAAAAAGTAGCCTATGTGTTATTCCAGACTATAATTTATGTCTGTGTAAAATTTCCAGAGATGTCATGTTATATATATATATATATATATATTATATATATATATATATATATATATAGTTAGATTGTTAGATGTCATATTTATAGTTCATACACCTCCAGGTAAATTTCTAAGAAATTAATTAAAATTCTAAGAAATCTATTGTTAACTGACACGCCGGCGTGTCCGCGGTCGTGGCGGGATTATAAAATATTTAATAAATACAAAATGCAAATACTTTTTATATTAATTTTCAATTCAAATTCAAAATAGTTTTTCATTTTGTATTTAAAATACTAAATGCAAAATATGTATTTCCAAAATACTTTATCTAAATAAAATACTTATAGTTTTTAACATTCTTTATTTATTAGTAAGCTGGCAACTTATGTATGTAATTAAAGTAAAGGAGGGTATAGAAGAGGGGCATCGATAAGCTAAGAAAATTGACACCAATATAACGAAAATTTTAAGTTTTTTTTTTTAAATTTTTCTTATTATTTTCGTATAATAAAAGTAACGTTTATCATTTTTTCTTTCTTCTTTAGAAGTTTATTTTTTTATTTTTATATTGGTCGATGTCTAAAGAACAACATGTAAAAAAATTACTATGCTGCTAACATGAACTTAAGTGCATCTCTATAAAATGTTGTTGTTATTATGTTGAATGTGTTTATTTGAATGTCCATGAATTATATTTTCATTACTTATAAGACGAATGCTATTTAAAAAAAAAATATTGTTTTTAATTTTTCATTACAGGGATCACTTTAGTTAGCTTATTGATACCTAAAAGATTTTAATAAATTAATTTGTTTGGAGACACTTTTTTTTCACATTAATTTATTCATGTTGACAAAACTTATCAGTAATTTTGCATTTTGCAAATACAAGACATGTCCAAAATTATATTTCAGATATGTCACATCTGTGCCAAATTTCATCCAAATCCGTTCAGCCGTTCTGGCGTGAAAGAGTAACAAACATCTAAACATACTCACAAACTATCACATTTATAATAATAATTAGTATGGTAGATACAGTGCTAGTACTGACCGAGAACCTAGAGGGTGCGGGTATAGGGCTGCCGGCGGGCGAGGGCGCGGGCGAAGGCGCGGGCGAGCGCAGGCGGCCGCGACGCTCTTCCTCTGTTGGGATATTCTGTAAAAAAAAGATAATAATAATAATAATTTATTCATATACTTTTTACAAAATTACATAATATAAATGATGAACAGATAGAGCAGCTCCGATATTTAATTTGGAAATTGAAATAGCTTAAAAACCTGTGGTCTCAGGTTACAGATGAAACTTAGACTTATATATAAGAGGACAAGTATGATAAATATATATTTTTTATATACGTCTGTACGTAAAGGCCTTCTTGGTGATATTTTCGAAATGAAAACTTCTTTAGCCGCGTTGAGAGATTTTTGGTAAGGGCAAAACTTATAGGTTCGCGTCACCGACATGACATCACGTATTGTACTAAACTGATGTTATATGTTTTTATTAATAAATAAACTATATGAAAATGTATATTTGGTTGCTTCCCCATACAAACTTTCATTGCAATTTTCACCCCCTTAAGGGATGATTTCCGGGCTAAGAACTATCTAAGTCCTTCCCACGGTCTTACACTATTTTCTTACCAAATTTATTTATACTAATATTATAAAGAGGTAAAGTTTGTGAGTTTGTGAGGTTGTAGGGGTTAATGTCTAGATCTACTGAACCGATTTAGATAAAATTTGTTTAGAAGATATTTAAGACTGTGGGAAGGATATAGGATAATTTTTATCCCGGAAATCATCCCTTAAGAGGGTGAAAATGGGGACGAGAGTTTGTATGGTGGGTATAATCAACCTAGGAACCCAAGCGAAGCGAGGGCGAGTCGCTAGTCTATGTATATATATATAAACAATATATTCACCCGTATGTGTGTTGCGGTGTGACATGTGAGGCTGATCTTGCGCATGAGCGCGGCGGGGGCGGAGGCCGGGGGCTCGTTGCGGCGCGCGGCGCTGCGAATGTCCCGTACGAGGCGCGCCGCCGCCGCCGCCTCCGTGCAAGCCTGCGCCGTTACTGGGCCGGCGGTGGTGGAGTTTGATTCCTGGCGGTGGAAAGTTTTATTGGTCGGCTTATAAAATCTTGGATAAACGGAAAAGCTAAGAAGCTAGAAACGTAAACAATAAGTAATGGAAATTTCTGAAACGTTTGGACCGATTTTGACGGGACTTTCACTTGTACATAGCTGATGTTATAAGGAGTATCTTATTTTTATTTAAAAAAAATATTATGGTTCCGCTCGAAAAAATTAAAACTAGTTTAAATTATATATATAATAAAATTTTAACTTTAAATATTTTTTGGAAAATCTTATTGAAATAGTCATTATTATCGATACAGAGGCCAAATCTATATATTATAGAATTTTTGTCTGTCTGTCTGTGACCGCATCACAAAAAAACCACAGGACAGTTTTTGATGAATTTTGCTATGATGATAGCTAGTTATCCGGGTCAACATATAGGATACTTTTACTGCGGGTAAATATCTCATCTCTGAGTAATCTATACTAAACGTTAAAACGTAACTAGTCCTGAGTCGAGGGTGAGTAGCTGGTTATAAAAATAAGTTTTAAACTATTATTGAATAAAGATTTTAAATTGCAATCTGAACACACATTGCATTTCCTTCGTCTAACAAGACGCAGATGATAAGGAATTTCCCATACTACACCCCACTATCTCATAACAAAAACTAATCAAAACGAGCGCATCACTTACAGGGGGATCGTCTAAATCAATCTGAGTCAGCGTTGTGTTCTCTTTCATAGCGCTCAATATCGCCTGCAGACCCGCCACGCCTATTTTGTTATCGCGGAGATCGAGCCTCTGGAAATAGAAAAAAATACGTCATAGATCTTTTCAGGTAGTGATAACAAATAAAAAATCGTGTGCGTGTACTTATGTACGCACGTAAGAAATTATACTTCTTTGGCGTAAGAGAACAAAAATAGCTTTTAATTATTTTTTTTATGTTGGGAAATGCATTTACGCACATCAACTGTAAACATACAGCAACAAATTTTAATACTACTTTAAACTCAAAAGTCCCCGATTCTCTCAACGTTAGCAACTAATACATGGTCCTCCGAGCCGGACACCCCACCCACCTGCACTTGCAGCCTGCTTTTACTACATATCTATTGCGTCACCACCATCTTTACGTTTACCTACATTAAAACTCTAAATTTAAAGTCTACCTAGCAACTACTACGTGGTCCTTCGAGCCGTACACCCCACCCACCTGCAGCCTGCCCTCTCCGCGTATCAGCTGAGCCACCGCCTTGGCGTCGGCGCCGACGCGCGCCGCCTGCAGGCCCAGCGACAGCAGCGGGCAGCGCTCGGCCGCCAGCGCGCGCACCACGTCCGCGCCCAGCGCGTTGCGACCCACGTTCAGCACGCAGAGGGATTGGGTTGTACGCTGTGGGGGGGAAGAGGGGGAGAGTTAGTCGTTACTCTACGTTTTAACAGATAGTATGGAATAGAGCACTATTCTACAGAAATCGTAGATTTTACGGGATAGAAACGTTCAACCAAACTTTTATAGGAAAACGATAAAAAATAATAAAAACTTTTACATACGATTTGGTCCAACCCTCACATGTACATATTTCAACAATTTTAAAAATATTTAAAATACAAACATGGCCTAACCAACATATATAATAATTATTAAATATCCATGTCATATCCATATCCATTAAAAAAAATGTTATTAAATATGCATAAGAAATTTAATTATAAAAAAAACTAAAAACGCAAAAAAGCCTTTGAAACTTAAGTTAGCAAAAACTATAAATAAGTATTATAATATATTATATAAATATTTAACAGCCATTTTCTCCAAAGTAACTGTCAGTGGGGTTAGGCTACTTTTGCGCTGGCGGCCTCATATATAGAAAACCTCATATATCTTTAAAATAAGTACCAAATATATTTAAAACAATATAAAATACAATATATATTTAATACCTGAAACAATATATATATATATATATAAAACACTCACCATTATTTTAGTTAAATGATTCACACAGTTCCTTGTCAACTGATTATTCCATAGAACCAAAAAAGCCAGACCCCTCGACTCGCAGCCGCCCGCTGGGGAAGGACATACATACATATATTAATACTTTATTAGATTTACGCGAATATTTGACATTTTAAATAAAACTAACATTTCGGATTTTTTCCCGACGTTTTAAATGCTTTACAGCAATCATGGTCGCGGAAGAGAAACAAAAAATCAAAATAAATCCTAGAAATAATACGAAAAGATCGTTTTATTTGTAATACGTTTATAAGTTATCTGTGTTAATATATAAAGACTACGATATCGTTTTGTTTGTTTGTTTGACTGATGGTATGTTTTTCCAGTCTAAACCCTTTCAAGATTTGACAATTTCTTGCATTTTTTGTTTGTTTGAATGACCCTAAATATTGATCGGAATAACCAGTAAATTATCAATACACAAAATTTAGTTAACCTAGGTTCTGTACTTTTTGCTTGAAATGCAAACAGATATACACAAACAAACAAACAACAAACAGACAAAAATTTAGTAATTATTATTTTGCGGTCAAGTTACTACTTTATTATATATATGTGTAGGGAAGAAATAAATATTTAACAAAAGTCCCCAATCGGAGTTCCCAATTTTTGTTGGCCACGAAACCCTAATTGATCATAATTTTTTTTAACGGATCCCTAAACTGATGGTTTTCTAGTTAGAATACTTTCTTGTTTGACTTGAAATAACAAATCAGAAATTAAAAATATAATTACTTATAATAATATTATATCAACAATATATAACCTAACTATTTAATATGACAAATGGATTTTTTTTACGTATTTATAATATCACTAAAATTAGGCTTTATGTCTGACGTTTTATTTAACTCTCGGACTGAACTCGAAAAACGTGTGAGCTTTCCACGGAACCCTAGGGTTTAATAAATTTAAATATGTTGTGACATTAACACACAGCACCATTTAGTTCCATGGTAAGCTACGAGGCCTGTGTTATGGATACCAGATAGTTGATACACTACACATATATAACTTTAAATACAAAACATATTATAAATATAAACACTCATGACTGGAGTACAAACATTCGTGCTCAACACACAAATGAATGCCCCCAGCGGGACTCGAACCCGCGACCGCTGGCACAGCAAATTGAGTTGTTTGAGAACCGTTGATATAGACATCTCTTACTCTTACTCGTGGTGGGAGTTGTGGAGGGAGAAGGTGGAGAGTGAGCCGCTTGTTCCACTAAAGCGTCTGCTATATGACCAAGTCCTGAGTCCTGGAAATCACAGAAAGACGGACATAATTAAAATTGTATATATATACATAGTATATACAATTTTATATCAAATATAAAATATATAAAATTCTATAACCCGTATTTTAGAAAAAGAATAAAAATTACTAAGTATTTTATTTGACATCGTCGTCTGAGTGCTTATTTGTCCAAACGACCAATTCACCGAAAGAGTTTTTAATACAGAAGTATTGCCATTTTAAATAAAACTATATTTTCACACGGGAGCCTCTCCCGTGACCATGATTACTGTACCTAAAGCATTCGATATGTCGCGAACCAAAAATCTAAATAAATCCACAAAAAAAAAACGATAAAGATAGTTTTATTCAAAATGTCAAATAATATGTGTCGAATTGAACATGTCATCCTTTTTTTCGTCGGTTTAAAACCACACATAAATACAAACCTGTATCATATTATTAGACAGATCGAGCAGCTGTATCCTGGTATTGTAGCGGAGCAGGTTGCCTATCTGCGAGGCGTCCGAGGGCGTCAGGTTGTTATCATCCAACCGTAACTCCCGAACTGATGTGTTCGTCTTCAGTGCTATCACTGAAAATGGGGAAAAAGAGAAATTAAAGAACAAACAAAGTTAAAGAAAAAAAACTTGGAATATATCTGTTTGGGATTGTTTTAAACGTAGTTTATTCAATTAATTAACTAAATGTTACATAACTAAAGTATATACAAATTACTGGAATTAGATGCAAAATATTACCGTAGGGGACATCCATTTTAGACTATCTTCCTTTTGTTGTGAACGAACGAAAGAATGAATGAATGAATAAAATACCCCACTCGATCACACTTCACTGGCCACTAGTAATCAGGCAGCAGTATCAGCAGGATCAAGTTCTAACATTATTATGATCCCAACGTCAGCCTACTACCGAGAGCTACTTAACAGAAACCATCTCAATCATCTTTCTCTCTCCCAATGGTCTCTCTCTCTTTTTTTAATTCGTTTGTTTTTTTTTATTATTAATTTCCTTATATGTATATGTGTATTATTGTAATATCGGAAACTATTATTGGTTAAGTTTTATTAGTAACTAGCGACTAGGTACCTTTTAACGGTTAGTATGGAAATTAAAAAAAATGTATTTCTTACTAGAGAAATGATTGATTCCCCACACAAACTTTCACCCTATAAAGGGATCATTTCTGGGATAAAAACTATCCTATATCCTTCCCGTGGTGTCAAACTATCTCCATACCAGATTTCATTTAAATCGGCTCAGCAGATTAAGGGTAACACGACACACAGATAGACAGTTACTTTCACATTTATAATATTAGTATGGGTTCGTTATCTTATAGATTTTTTTAATAGCATTTGTTTCCAAAAACATGAATCCGTATTATTTTAATATTATAAATTATAATATTATAAATATGAAAGTCTGTGAGTATGTATGGATGTTTGTTACTCTTTCACGCCAGAACATCTGAACGGATCTGGATGAAATTTGGCACAGAGATAGGTTATAGTCTGGAATAACACATACGCTACTCTTTTTATCTCGAAAAAATATACGGTTACCGAGGGATAGATTTGTTTTTGTTTAAAAGTATCGCTAGTATATAAATAAGTGAACGAATGAATGAACTCTCTCCCTCCCTCACCGAGACAGAGCAGCGCCTCGCCGGCGAGGCAGGCGCGGCGCAGCGCCAGCGCGCGCAGGCGGCAGGCGGCGGGGCGCAGCGCGCGCGCCAGCGCCGGCGCGTGCGTCGCCTCCAGCGCGTCCGAGCACACCTCCAGCTCGCTCAGCTCCGAGCTCTGGTGGGGGAGCGGGGGTTGTCTTTAGGACGATTCACTGTGCTGGATTTACACTAGGGGCGGCAAATTTTTCAGGGGCGGCAATATTCGGAAGGTGAGAAATAAAAATTCTTCGCGTTATCAAAAATGCTTTTTTTATTCTCCAAAAGAATTAATATGATCATATGAAAAATAATGACAACATTTATAAATTAAATTTTCGCATTTTTCCAAAAAATAATCAATTATTAAAAAAATATAAACTTTAGGGAAACTTTAACATTTTACGCAAAATTTCGATAATGGGGCGGATTTTTTTACATTGCCCAAGGGCGGCTCTAAGGTTGAATAGGGAACTGGCGATTCATATGTGTTTTTGTGTTTGAATTATTCATACCCTAATTCTTTTCCTAAAATAGAAATAACTTAAGTTACTCTCTATACCATCAGCAAGTCAGTTAAAGTCTCGTAAAAATCACAGACAGACAAACAAAAATTTAAAAAAATATTTTTTCCTTATAAGTACAGTATTATATAATATGATTTCATAAGCATTTAGTAAAAAGTTTTATTGACATTACACACACACTATTTTTATATATTATACCTTTTTTATCATCCTTGAAGCCGCCTGCCACCCGCGTATACCAAACTGCCTCGGCCCAATGATAGATATCGCATTTGTACTTTCATAATATTCTACCATATCGAATAACGCTTCCTGAAAATTAAAAAATATATCATTTCACTTGCTTGCTTCCCAATACAAACTTTCATCCCCATTTTCACCCCCTTAAGGGATGATTTCCGAGATAAAAAAGTATCCTATGTCCTTGTCAGGATCACAAACTATCTTCTTAACAAATTTCATATAAATCGGTTCAGTAGATCCAGAGATTACCCCTACAACGTTACAAACTCACAAACTTTACCTCTTTATAAAATTAGTACCTATAGATATATAATACGTAGGGCATTTTTCAACTTGAGAGTAGAAGAGAAACTAAAGAGACGAAGAGGAGCACGTTAGAAGAAGAAACCCAACACTCACCGCCCCCTCATCATCAATATCCGCGTGGTCTATCTCCAACCGTCTGAACTGAACCTTCCTGAGCAACGCTTCGAGAGCGTCTGTAGGCGTAGTGCCGAGTAGCGAGCAGTCAGTGAGAGCGAGGCGGGGCGCCCGTGTGCTCCCACCGATTGTGTTATCTGGGAGTTCCTGGAAGAAAATATTGAAGCGTATTATATTAATCACAGTCTACTATTCCATAGACGTTTGTCAGCTTGTAGTGACTCTATTGCTGTGCCAGCGGTCGCGAATACGAGTCCCGCTGGGGTGCATTCATTTGTGTGATGAATGTCACGAATGTTAGTACTCCAGTCATGGGTGTTTATATTTATAATATTTAAAGTTATACTATGTGTAGTGTATCAACTATCTGGTATCCATCACACAAGCCTCGTAGAGTAGCTTACCATGGAACTAGATGGTGCTGTGTGTTAATGTCCTTCCTGACATATTTATATATTAAATTTATTATAATAGTCCTCTAACGAAGCCATCTAAACAGTATAATAATGTGAAGTCGCAACCGAATGTCATACGTTTTTTTATATATTTTTTCACGAAACGGGTTGACTTGTGCTATTGTTACTTGCCAAGAGATGGCAATACTGCGCATTAACTTCAAAATAGTTCACTTTAAAAATAATAAATTTTGACAACTTGCAAACCTGCATGTCTGAGAGAACCTAGCAAGTTTTCGAAAGAAATGCTCAGTCCGCCCGCACTTGGCCAACTTGGTGGAATTTGGCCTGGTCCCTCTATTGAAGGGAGGCCCACTCCCAGCAGTGGGATGTTAATAAGGGCTGAACACATACCCGTATCTGTTCCAGCACGGAATCAATAGGCGGGGTGCCGTGACATCTGCAGGACTCCAGATACTCCGCTGCCAGCTGTGCGCGCGTTGTGTTTGGTACTGAAATGGAGGAAAGATACCTTTTTAACATGGGGTTTAAAAACACAACTAAATATTCAAGACTAAAAGTAGAAATGTATCTTATTATGTCACAAAAATAAATCTTATTATAACGATGGGCGACAGCATTTCGTAATGTATACATATAATATAATTGTAACTATTAAATATTTTTTAAAATTCTTATTGAAACAGACATTATTATCGATACAGAGGCCGAATCTATAGTTTTTAGAATTTTTGTCTGTCTGTCTGTGACCGCATAACGAGAAAACCACTGGACAGAGTTTGATGAAATTCGGTATGATGATAGCTGGTTATCCGGGTCAACATATAGGATACATTTTACTGCAGGAAAATATCTCATCTCTGAAAAATCTATGCTAAACCCTAGAACGTAACCAGAGACTAACCCGAGCGGAGCAAGGGGGATAAGCTTGTTTAATATAGGTATTATCATTCATTGCCAAACATTGGATACGAATGTGAAGATATGCACAAAAACTTTCTCACAATACAAACCAAAGAGATAATAAAACAGAAATAAATGAAATAACAATCGTTAAAGCTCATTAAAACGAAAATTAGGTTTACGACGTTTTGCCACTTGAGTTTATACTTTTTTTTACTAGAGACTCACCATCGCTTCGCTCGGGTTTGTTCCTACCTACGTACCTACCTACCTACCTAGATTATATATACATTATACACATACATAGGTATTATATATATATATATATATATACACGAGTATATATACCTGGATATGAGGAGTTATTGTGGGTCGTATTAGAACGTGTTTTCCCGTGATAAAAAGTAGCCTGTGTCACTCTCCGGCCCTCCAGCTATCTCCTCACAAAAAATCACGCCAATTCGTCGCCCTGTTTCCACGTGAAACATTTGTTCCTTCTATTTGTGCGCAAAAACCGACGCAATCGAAACGACCGTAAGTTTTTAAACCTACACAAACCAAACTATCTGTCCACATGTTAGAATTATTAGATTTATTATAGAATTATTAGATTATAAATAGAATATGTGATAGCTTGTCGAGATGACATAAGTGTTTTTCTTGAAAATCGATCCCGCAAATTACCCCATAGTATCTGCTACCTACTACGTCAAACAGCCATTTAACCGACGGAGTTTGACGTTGACAATATAATCCCATTGATCCGGCATCGCTGCCAAGACGGTAATAAACCCAAATATCGTAATAACGAGTAATCATAGTGATTATACCATTTGATTTACGACTTAATCTTTTTTGGTGAAAATAGCAAACTAAAAATAATTTCTGAGAACATATTATATTTAAGTGTCATTAAGGAAGGCAAGCGCAAATTCTTTTCTCTGTTACTATTTTTTTTCTTTTTTTTTTCTTTTAAGGATTTTGTTTTCTTTTTACAAGCTTTTAGTTAATTTACATGTTCGTTAGTCGGTATGTCTGTATGGGTCAAATCTTGCAAGCTGAATTAGAACCACATCCTCTTATCCTACAGAGTTGACATTTTACATGTTGGTTAGGTATGAATTGTCATCGGACTTTTTATGATATAACTAGCGGGTCGCCCTCGCTTCGCTCGGGTTCGCCTCTGGAAAAGCAAAGATATATCAATCCCACGGGAACCGTACATTTTTCCGGGATCAAAAGTAGCCCAAGTGCTATTCTAATGTATGAGCTTTATTATAGTAAAGTTTCATTAAAATCCGTTCATTCGTTTTTAGCGAGTAAAAATAGGCTTTAAATAATTATTAATTTATTAATTAAAATATTAAGATTTAATAATAAATAACACAAACTAAAAAAATAATAACAAACTAGATACGTTTTATAGAATAGACTAAATATAGTAAGTACAATGTACATTGAAATAAAAAATAAAAACCCTGAAGTACTTGAGGAATCATCGATTCCCCATAAATACTTGAACCCCCCTTTTCACCCTTTCAAGGGATAATTTCCGGGATAAAAACTATCCTATGTCCTTCCCAGGATCTCAAACAATACCCATACTAAATTTCATCTAAATCGGTCGTTATGTCACAGATTTACATAGATGTGATGTAAGATAAGATTAAAATGAATATCTATAATAATAATCTCTATATAAATAGGCAAAGACAAAATCGTTCAGTGCCTTTTCCTCCTCTGTTTGTCAAACGATTTTCTTTTTTTTTTTGTTTAGTAGCTACTGACGAGTTTTAGTGCTTAACATAAAAATTTGCTCGAATCCAAATTCGAATCTCCTATTTCCTATGCACTGACGTAAACATACCCTTATAAGGCAAAAGTGCGTCATACTAATCGATATTATATACATTTTCTGTATGAAAAAAATCATAGTCATCGTAAGTATGCTTGCATAGTTAGAAACGTGTATGAAATTGGCATAGCAGCATGTAAGCATTACATGTAGCAATTATATAAGGTCATTTAAATTTCCAGTATAGGTACGGTTTGGTTAATGGAGACCTTGATGGAATATATTGACGACACGTTTAGCTCAGTTTGCAGTGACCCTACTTGCTGTGCCAGCGGTCGCGTGTTCGAATCCCGCTGGGGGCATTCATTTGTGTGGTGAGCACGAATGTTTGTACTCCAGTCATGGGTGTTTATATTTATAATGTGTATGTATTTAAAATTTATATATGTATAGTGTATCAACTATCTGGTATCCATAATCCATAACACAAGAATCGTAGCTTACCATGGAACTAGATGGCGCTGTGTGTTTATGTCCCAAAATATTTATTTATTATTATATAGATGTCATGTACGGTTCGTAAGTACTGAAAGCTTCGAGGTTCGATTCCGAATCGAGACAAAAAAAATTCATTGCACTTTATATGGACACGAGCGACTCACCATCGCTTCGCTTGGGTTCCTCCCTAGATTGCTTCCCCTTTACACCCCCCACGGGGTGATTTCCGGAATAAAAATATCCTATGTCCTTCCCAAGGTCTCAAATTATCTTCTTGCAAAATTTCATCTAAATCGGTTCAGTAGTTTCGGAGCTTATTCGGTACAAGCAAATAATCATTTTTTTATAATTTAGTTTTTTATAGTATTATTTTTTTATAATATTGTTATAGATAAACTAGTTTTTATAGGTACCGGTTCATAAACTTTTGTTGTAATAATTACTGTTTGCACTAATAACTGTCATTAAGATTTGCCAACGAGCGAAGCATTTTAGACGTTAAATTAAGATAGTATTCGAAACGCCATACTTTTTGGAGCGTATTCCAAAAAACAAATTACTGACATCGAACAAAAAGCCAGTAAGCTTTAATGAGACTGGGCAGGCCAGGTCTGCTGTATGCATTCAGAACTGTGGACCAAAGTTACCACATCACATAGTACGACCCCAAAAATAACAAATCAGTGTCGCGGTAAACCGCGACCAAGGTGACAGTATAAATTACTCAAATTCCATCAAATTGGCCTATACTTGCTCAAGACCCCAAAATCTGGAAACATAGACGGGACGCCTTTGCCCAGCAGTGGGATGACTAAGAATAATACGAAAGTACACGAAAAAGGCAACGACATTGAATTCACTTAATAGTCCACCTTTAGGAGCTGAATTCATATTAAAAATTAATATATGGCCACTTATAATCTATCTGTTATCTATTAATTAAAACAATTATAATAAAATTCGCTTCAGAATTGGCGAAGTTATCGCGTAACAAACAGACAAAAAATATAACGAAACTAAAACTTGTTAGACTTTGATCAACAATAGACCTAAGAATATCTAAGCGAAGCCAGAGTAGAATATAAGTTAACCATAATTACCAGTTTTGGAAAGCAAACGATGTCTGCTATTTTAGAACCAATATACCTAGTTTTGATGATGATGTTCTCCTGACCGATTCCCGGCCACGGCGGCCAATCTCATTGAGACTAGCCAACTGCGCAGGAGATACTATAGCGCACAAGTGTACGCGCAGACACAAGTGCACTCTGTATTCCTGTCACTCTCATACTCCGGTGGGACAGCTGCTCGACACGACCCGTGAGAGTTAAGGCGCAGGACCGACGGCTTTACGTGCTCTCCGAGGCACGGGGGTGAAACACCGCCAACTTCCCAACTCCGGGCTGTTACTGAGGCTCGCTATACAGAAAGACTCAATAACTAAACTTGACCTGACCCGGGACTCGAACCCAGGACCTCCGAGTGTGCAACCGTACATGCTTGTCACTACACCACCGAGGCAGTTTTAATAATTAACAAGGTTATCATATTTGGTGGCTAACAAAACCTAAATTGTACAACGTTTGTTTTCAACCCAAAAATACACACAGATTAGAAAAACAGCCCAACAGCATATTATTACTAAGCGTCAGTGATAATACTTTCTTAGATTTACGCGAATATTTGGCACGTTAAATAAAACTATCTTTTTCATCGGATTTATTTAGATTTTTAATCCCGGACGTTTCATAGGCTTGACGGAATAAAATGATGTATGGGAAACCGAATGAAGCGGGTATAAATCCCGGGTCTCGCACTTCTGATATTTTCCTACAACCTAGCAAGTTTTCGAAAGACATGTGAAGTCCGCCAACCCGCAGTTGGCCAGCGTGGCCTATGGTCTGATCCCCCGAGTATTGAAGGGAGGCCCACGCCCATCGTCCACGTTAAAAAATAAAGCTGAAAACATGGCAACACGCGATATTATATAATATATAAGTCAGCGAGAAAATCCGAAAAGATAGTTTCATTTAAAACGTTAGTGATTATAATCATTTGAATATACACCATAATTCCACGGGATGTACATACATAGGTGCATATATGGTCAATAAAATTGTTCACATCACTAGCTCTAATATTACACATTGCCAACAAAAACACGTCACATAGTGATGTCAGTGTGACCCATTGACATCTATCCGTTAGCGTAATGGAAACTACTTAGTAAAAATCTAAATAGCTTTTGAGTAAATAAGTAAATAAGTTTCTAGCACGCCCCATAGGTGACGTAAT